TTTTTTTTACAATTATTCTCTTCAATTATAAATCTGTAAATCTGACAAAATCGACCAGCACTCACATGCAGTGGAGTGTATCCAGCAGTATCTCGGCAATTTACGTTAGCACCACTTTCAATTAGCTTCTTAAGAATGTCGTCTTTCCCAAGACGACTAGCTAAATGCACTGCTGTTTGTCCATCTTGATTTTTTGCCTCCAAACTACGATAGCCGCACTTCAGTAACTCTGAGACAACTGTATAATTTCCTAAACAATGAAATACAACAATTCTTAAAAATATGTTGCAACCTGTAATTTTGTACATAACTGTGACCCAGACACAAAAATTGAAATTACATCGTAACTTTTCTGAAGCTCTAGAATTCCTACCCTCTCCCTTTTACAAGCATTATTGACTTCTGTATAAAAGAAAGCAATGAGTTTTGTTGACAACATCCCATAAAATATATTTGCTCTTGAGTAATAGGAACTATTTGAGTCAACAAATACACTACATAGTTGAAAGTTCTATCACAGAATTAACCAAATCCCTCATTCCTTTCGTATGTGATAAAATGAGAGCATAAGGAAATTTGCATAGATTACGCATTGTTTGTTTTTTTCATGTGTGTTTTTTCCCTCTTACCTTCCAAGTTGAAATTATGAAAGAAAGCTTTCAACATAACATATGATTTACCATTTATTTATCACATGAAGCCCAGTAACATAAAACAATAATATTAATAATGAAACGATGATGGGCCAAATAATATTGGCTTGTTGGAATAACAAACATTAACAAACCTTCTTTTGTAGCTCGATGTAAAAGGTTAGTACGACCATGTCTTCGTGAATCATGAGGTGGAGGATCCTTTTTACACACCAGGGCAAGTTTGGTTACAAGGCCATGGGCATCTTCCTGATAATATTCTATAAGAGTCTCTAGGCCATGGATAATGGTGTGTTCATCTGGATATACACACGCATGAACATGAATTAATATTGATAAAAGGCATAAAATCAGCAGGAAAATTTAATGTAAAGTATACCTATGGAGAAAAATGCATCTTCTCCATGTCTCCTTATCTGATAATGCACTACCTCTCCCTCATGCAAGACTGAAAGTACATAGTCTCCAACTGCAGTGTTGCTTTCACGAACTAGAAATGTTCCTTCACAACTTCCTTCCACTGAAATGGATCATAAAAAAGAAACTAATGTGTTACCTTCAATTTAGATACCTAATGTATTTTCTTTCAAAAATGTATTAAATGACTAAAGGTATTAATTAAACCCAGAAGCACAAATAAATACATAGCTAATAAATAATTACCATTTATAACAATTTGTTCTGCAGCTTCTCTGGTAATTTTGCCATGAAACCAACAAAGACTGTCTTCTTTCTCTTTGTTCATTTTGGAGTATTCAAAATCACACTAAGAAAAAAGTACAAATAATAGAGTAATTTCCCATACTCATTTGCATTGAAATTATGTACTTATATAATTATATGAAACAATTTTAACTTCTAGCATTTACAAATAGGCAGAATTGTATTAAGGAAATGCTAATAGGGGAGAGGGCTTCCTGGCAGTACCAAAATACTACTTACTAATCACATTGACAAGGATATTCCAACGTCACATTCTCCGGGCACTTTTCCGAACATTCATTTTAACCAAATGTCCGATGTTGAAGATTCTCACAATTAAATACCAGAATTTACTAACTTAAAGTACATCACAAACGATTTGTACAACATAAAATGAAACACAACCGCCCATTCTGTCACGCTTCAAGATATTCGCGAAACTGAAGAGAATGCAATTTCAAACAACCGCTAATTGAAACAAATCAAAACACGTATCAAATCATGAGATTATGTAATTGTCACCTCAGCACATACGAAGGTTTTTGTTATTCCGGATACAGCTGAGGACACGCTGTGGATTGTAGGAAATGCTGCGCTACCAACATGAGCATAACTATTCTCTGACTTGAATTTGACATTAGTAAATAACCTTCGTAACAATTGTCAAACGCATATCTCGTTTGTGCAAAGCATTTCACGATCTTTAAGATAATTGGAAATATTTATAGTTCTCACCTTTCGAAGGAATAGTTTCCCGATTAAATGTTTTAACATTGTCGCACTACCATCATGCTGCGACGGTGACAGCTGATGATATCTTGTTGCTCAGTATCACATGATATAATAGCGCGGTCCCAATTTTTCGCACGAATTTTCAGTCAATATGTAGAGACTTCTACAGATATTTGCCTCCACTGGTGCGTGGTGTCGGACAAAGGTGAAACCCTAGGACTAGGTGATTCAACGACTCTGAGGAAGCAAGACGATGAATCAACTGGATTCGTCATCGCACGCGGATCACATTCCAATGAATGCGTTGCGGAAGATACATACGGATGAAATGACTTGACACTTGACAAGTAAAGCTTGAGATTGAACGATTATGATTTTTCCATGTGTACAGGAGTTTTACGTCAAATATTGGTAACAATGTAATCTTGTTACGTATGAATTTTCTCAATCGTTATCTCAAACCTTCACTCATGCCAGTCCTAGACTAATTACTAGAGGCTGGAAGTTCTTGCATTTATTTTACCCAAAATACCCAGGCAAAATGGCACTTATTTTTACTAAAATAGGCATGCAAAAATATTTATTATGCCTAAAGAAGGGTGCAAATAGGCATGTAAAAAATGAAAAATCACTATTTAAAAAAGAAATAATTTAAATGAATCATATTTTCATTCTAACTAAAATTTACATTAGCACTTGCCTGGAAGAAAACGATAATTTCTTTGTAAACTTGATTGCACATGACTACCCGGTGTGGTGGGTACAAATTTGTTTTACTCGCGTCGCTGTCGTTATGAAATGCTCTTGTGGACTCCCTTTTGAATTTTGAAATGGCATAAGTGAAAACGGAATTATAATTTTCGTTCTTCGCCTTTGTGTCCCAGCACCAAGAAATGTACATCACATACAGATAGCTCTGTCCTCAAAAAGAATTGGGGGCCATATTCAAAATTAGGAAAGGATTCCTCGTCAGCGAAAAAAGCACGCCATCAATGAAAATTTAAAAATTTAGACTGGTATCATCTTCCTTTGTCATGTAGATTTTTAACACTACTAAACCGTAATGACTAACCTTTCCACATTGTAAATAATACACCGTTTGATATTAAACTTTTGGTGTGGTTTCACTAAGATATTTAATACGTAAACATCGTTTAAGCAACATTGACATGTACCGAAGTGAAGTCTAGTCTACTGAATTGTTTCTAATGGTAACAAATGGTATTTATTACTCAAAGGTGAAAATAGTAGTTTTATTATTGTTTGGCTCGAAATTGCTTTTCTTGAGATACGCAAGTACACAGAAAATAATCCAATATATAAATAATTTTTCAATTTTCACACCCCAGCACGCTGGCGACCTCCCTTCCAAAACTCCCTCTGTTCGTCATAACAAATCCAGGAAAGTTAAATAATATTGCAAATAATAGGGTTGTAGTTGCCCGATTCTGTATTTTCGCATGAAAAACTTTACTTGGCTTTCACAAGAGTAAAATCCTTTTCTAATATTTTTGTGACTATCAAGGAAAGCGAAAAGCTAACTGTCAAGGAAGATTGAATGTAATTACTTCAAACGTTGTTTTAAAGGAAGTGTGAATTGTTCAAAGAACATACCTTTATAATGTTAATTAGATCTTTATTGAAAATTTGTTTCCAACATCTATTGCACTGTTTTTATTTTTGTTTGATATGCTGTTAGTACGAGGTAATATTTATACATTTTTTAACAAATAAACTGGATTCATTAACAACTTTATTTCTTGATGGAAAGGATAGGGAAATGGATAGGGGAAGAGCGGGGATTAACATGCGAGAGTTCTCGCCCGATACGCTAGTAATCTTTATTCTTCAAAATTTATTACTGTTAATTAATGAAAAAGATACAAAACTTCATTTTTCCCAACAAAATCATTCAAAAGAAGGTTTTATGAGAACTATCTTACATTCATTTTTTGATTTCTTTATAAACAATAAAACAATGCAGCACAAAATAATTTTGAACATTAAGGTTATGCCAATAATTTGATAATTATCAGTGGTGCAACCAGGAATTTTTCATGGAAGTGTAGGTTTAGTGTCTAACCTATTTTATATTTTCTTACAATATTTCAATTATATTGAATTTAAAAAAATATTTTACTTGTTAATTTATACTTGTTTGTGACACATTCATTTAAGTTATCGAATGATTTTCGTTACTATAGAAAAATGATAAAAACTAAATTAGTGAATATTTCATGCAGCTCTACCGGGAGTCGATGCTGAAGTCCCAGTGAGCTCAGCCCCTTTCTTGGTTGCTCCATTGAACATTATGATAATGAAATATAGAATATTAAGAGCAATGCAATGTTAACATTTTTGAAAATTCATAGTTTCAAGAAAGAAAGAAAGAAAGAAATATTTCATGCATGTTCTTTGTTTAACCCTCTTTGGCATATTGATGTAATTTTATATAATCGCTGAGACAGATCGACAATAATGTAAGATTTGAAAGTTTACAGGCTGACGTAGACAATTAATTTCGAGCAACTCTCGTCACATAAGTTATTATTTTTTGTTCAAGTACTCTTAAGCTCTTAGTACTCTTAGGCTCTAATTTCGAGCAAGGTGGTCTGAGTCCTTTGCATTCTTTACTATTTCACATTTCATTCCCATCAACCTCACCGAAATCTGTTGATGTCTTTCGTATCCTGACAAGTAAACACAACTTCCCTGCACACTTCTATCGGAAAACATGAGCTCCAAAATGTTTGAAGTGACGTTCTTTCATTAAACTGCTCAGCGGTGCGAGAGTTTTTTTAAAATTATTTTTTATATTTGCAGAAAAACATAGCTCAGTAAATATAACTATACATGTGGATTAAAAGACTTACTTACTATACTTGAATTTAACTTACATACTATTACAAGGGAGAGGAATCCCCGTTAAGGAGTCCTCAGTCCGTATCTAAAACTGCAATTTTTTTAGGAATATATCGTATGTATATCCGTTTTCTGTTCTTATTTGGAACATAGGGTTTTTGGCCAGTTTGAAGGGATGGGATTTGAGGTAGGTTAAAATAAAAATTGAAGGCCAGACACGTGATGTGTTGTTCCATAGATTCCAGGTTACATTCATTAAAGAGCTGGTTGTTCGTTATATACCAAGGGGCATGAACAACTATTCTTAAGATTTATCTTTATTTTGCAGGACTTGTAGTTAGTGAATGTTAGTTTTGGCAGAGTTGATTCAAATTGGGCTCGCACATAGCATTAGCGGCCTTAAGATTGTTTTATTAATTGCGGTGGCTGATTTGTAGTATATTGGACTGTTTCTCTAGATTAAAGGTCGTAGTTGTGACAGTTTTATTTTAACTTAGGTCGCCTTGGCATTTATACTTTTTCCCCAATTTATCTTGGTACCTAGGTATAAACCTAAGCATTTAATGGGTTTATTAGGGTGGTACCAATCTATTGTATTGTTATTTAGCGTGAGGGGGGAGAGTAATGTTTTAACGTAAATATTTTTTGTGGCCGTTTTGCTAGGGTTTAATTGAACTTTAAGTTTGGCGGCCCAACTGTCGATCAAGTTTAAATAAAGTTGAATGTGAGTTGTCAACTCGCGGAGGTTTGTGAGGTAAATATGGCCGTGTCGTCGGCAAATTGCGCAATCAAAATTTTATTAAGTGTGGGTTTGTCAGCAACATAACGGTTGAATAGGGCGGTGAGCCTTGTGGAAGTCCTGCGTTTATGAGGGTGAGATAAATGGCTGTTGACTTTGACTGCGAAGGATCTATTGCTCAACAAATTTATTAATATTAACTTTAAATGCTGTAGACTGCCTATTTGAATGAGTTTATATACGATAGCTTGGTGCAAAGTTCGGTCAAATGTTTCAATATTGAGCATCAAAATAATTCTAAAAACCTGTAACAAGTATATTGTATCTCAAGTTTGGGTCAATGACATCCATTTCGATCAGGTTTTTCGTCCAGTTTGTTTGATCATTTGAGTGAATGCTGAGATGGCCCTTGATTTGCTTCTGGACATAAACGTAGCTTCATTATCTGCGCACGACTTCCAGAATTCTGTGGGAAATATAGTCATTTTCCATGTAGTCGCGGCATGGTGTCTCCATGTTGTTCGTTCACAAAGGGTACGGAGAGGGAGAAGAACTCAAATCTACAGCTGATTTGCTCTTGAAAATATTTCTTATTACACCGGGGCCAATATTTTCTTATTAATTCTTTCCAAAAAAAGGTAATTTACGTCTGTATTCGGTATTGAACTTGTATAAGCCTCAGGGTAGGGATCCCAAAATTTCGAAAGTGGGCACAGAATACTCATGTCCTCGTAGCCCTTGACATTTTTTAAAACTTTTTTGACGTTAAATAAAAATAAAATACTGCACTCGACTCGCATACAAATTGCCGCGCATGGTGCATCGAGTGAGTGCGCGCAAGCATTCACAATAACGAACGTAAGCTGGAACGTAAGTTTAGCCAGAGCCAATCAGATTCAAAAGTATTGAAGCTTGATTGATTGTCAATTCGTTTCTAGCATGGTGGGAAGATCTTTTCACCACGGTTTCTAGCATTTTCTTCGCTTTGTTTTTATTAATAAATGCAAGTATGTGTTGTATTAGTGCTCGCATTTTCTTTATTTTATAGTCAAGGATTCTCTTGTACCAATTCACGAGTGATTCGTCGAACGTAATTATTTTATTCGCCACATCAAGTTAAAGTCACAAGAAAAATGGCTCAAATTATTCATTTGAATTCACTACTCTCGTCAAAACCTTTCGGAAAGTAGTTCAGTACATAACGGTAATGAACTGACATAACCACAAACTACTTGTACACAATCCATGTTTGTTTCTTTCATGCTGCTCTCTGATTGGTCTTCAGTAGAATTCCGACGTAAACGACATAGATGCTTGTCAACTCTACGGCTTACGACTATGTTTACGTCCAAACTTTGGGAATGGTCTCGCTTAATAACTCATTTCTAGGTTTACGTTAGGCTACGTTATGTTTACGTTTGCATTGTGAATGAGGCCTTACATGTAGTCGAAGGCAGTGTAGCGCACGGGACGTTCGGGCATGGTGGGGGCGGCAGCCAGGAAGCTCCGAGGGGGCGGAGGCGGCGGCGGGGGCGGGATGGCCGGTTGCGGGGGCAGCTGTGACTTGGATGGCGCGGGCGGCGCCGTGGGGGCGGGCCCGTCCTTGGGGCCGCAGCAGGCGCGCAGCGTGAAGAAGTAGACGAGCTCCACGAAGCTCAGCAGGCTGGCACCCACCAGGAGACCGCACGTGCCGCCCATCGACACTGCGCACGTGCAACGCAAGCCGCCCACTCAGTTCGCTCACACAGAGCTCTACAGCGGCCGTCTCGTCTCTACAGCGGCCGTGACCCGGCAGGGCCGAGGGTTGGAGTACCGACGGAGGCGGAGTTTCGGAGTTGGCTTTTTAGCTCTTGTTCGAATAATATTTCTGCTTACTCGAAAGCTAGCGACTAACTGGGGAAAGGGGGATGCGTTTTCCCCTCAGAGGCCCTTGATCCGGTTCCTAATGCGAGCCCCCTTGATTTACATCTCGGTAGAGTGCTGTGGCCTATTTGAAACACACTAAACTAGTAGTTCTTTGCAAGACCCCAGCCCAGTCAAGAGGTAATGCCTTCATCTTCACTTGTATACGGATTGGCCATTTATTAACTACTTGGCCAATTATTTGAAGTAGAATATAACATTTATATAACTAAATAAGGTATGCATTGCAAATATTTAGATTTGACTGTGCAGAAAATTGGCTTTAAAGGTAATCGAAAACAAAACGGAGACCCGGGTTTGGGTATTTTCCTCTACAGCTTGTGCTAGGCAACTTGAGTGGACGAGTTCGCTGAGTCAGGGGCGACTTTTCAGATTCGGTTAGAAATGCATAGAGTACGGAAGTTCGCATGTGTGTTGTTGTGTCGTGAGGCTCTCTCAACCCCAATGCAACACAATTCTAAACATTCTAAAGACGAAGGGCGAGGGAAAGTCTTGAGAACTCGCAGTTCTGCTCGAGTCGTTCCAGATCATGAAAGATGTTAATGTGTAGAATAATTCAACTCGTCTGTCCCTGAGGATGGACAACGAAGTGCTACTTTCGGTCCATGACTCTTGCTTTCAGATGGAATTAACCGGAATGAACAACGTAAGCGACATATCAGATTGCCATGGGGCGTGGAATTTTCATTCGGTTGCCATATCATTCGGAGCTGTCTTTTAAAAGCGGGCGCCGTGCTTTAATCGAAAATCCGCCCCCGTTGTGTTTCAAACCTACGCCTTCTCGATCTACAATAGTACATTACGAAACGAAATTGTAATGTTGGGTATTAATACATGAATATCGTAAATGTCACACGAGTGTATTAATACCCATTACATAGAGTTTCATACAGTACTTTTTCTACAACTTATGGTAACTTTTATAAGTTGAATTTTTACACTGAATAGTTCCATGGCAGTTGACATGCAGGGTTCAAGCCAAGGCCACGTAGCGGACAGCTCCCTACCCTGTCGCAGGTGACTTTGGCTCACCACTGCGCTAGTGAAATAAGATCAACGTTAAATTTCGCGCGATCCAATTTATTTTAAATAATAGTCCACCTAAAAAACTAATAGTGAAAGAAATTTTACAACACATTTACTTGAACGATTGCCAATGATTAATTACGTGTCAATACTTTGATTGTAAACTTCTCTTTTATTGTTTGAGAACCTGTATCATAATGAAATATGTATCGAAACTGCGGTAGTCACCCGCGCACCCTTGAAAGAGCCGCCAAAACAAGAGTTCTGACGCCACTCAATAGAGACCGACAGCAGCAGCAGCAGCAGCCGCCGCCGCGGCTAGGCAAAGCAAAGCGCGCCACCACCCTTACCCCGGGGCTTATAGCCAGCGGACCCTCAGCCCCAGCGGGATATAAATCTGCACCCCAGCCAGTCAGTGCCTACCGGCAGTATGGTGAATGCGTGTGATATAGTGATTAGTGGCAACGAAGCGGCGAAGTTGAACGGATTCTCTCTCCTGAACGGTAAAATCGGGGCTTCTGCAGTGAACATCGGACATCCTCCTGGTTAACGGCGACTTTGGCTTTCCCTAGTACATCCCCTGGAACATTGTACAACTCGCTAGTGAATGGTTACGATGTACTTGTGTGAAACTGGAATAAATCTGTATTTTATGAGAAGTACTTTTTTTTTTGACATAACAGAAATGAGGGTCGTTACGAAACGGGTTCCAGCAAGTACACAACGGGAGGAGGAAAGGGCTCCGTCGCACACGCGCCGCGCGCTCAGCGCAGCCGCTCACCGACGAGATCCAACTTGGTGCGCACGACGTTGCGGCGGAAGCGAATGGTCGGCAGGCGGTCGAAGGTCATCTCCGTGATGGACCTCTGGGACCTGCAAAGGGAGAGAACCTCCGTTGGACACCTTGTGGGATGCTTCCCTTGCTCAAACTGCTTATAATCATTTCTCATCCACTTGCGGCATCCGGCAATGAAAGATGAAATCATGGCCCCAAATTTCACCCATGTCTGAGATAGGCCAATCAGGAAGGCAGATATTTGGTTTAAGCTTTTTGATGTTTGGGTTGGTAAAAATGTTACACACCTTTCTTCGACATTGAACGCGGAATAATTCTCCTTGAACGAATTGAAAATAAATATGGAGTAATTCCCTTTGAACGTAACCTTTTTCCTAAAATATCGTTGTCTTTTGACCCTATCGGCAAGGGGCTCGGCGCCGTTAATTCTCATCTCTCATTCACCCATCAAAGTACCCTCGGCGTCCCGAGTTTCTTAAACTCCGTGACGGACCATGGTTAAGCAGCGTAAGGCGCCGGCAGCGTTTGGTCCAGCACTGACGCTTTTCGGATTTTCGCACTGGTTTTTGACGATCGATTTCGGTGTTTTGGCGGACGCTCAGCAGCATCTAGGGCGGCAGAGCCGTCGTAAGCTTGCCTGCGCTCACCAACACACTCGAAGTCCTTCGCTGAAGGGAAGCCTGTAAATCGGGTCTTACATTCTCTCCTAGTTACCAACACCAACCCCGTCTTTCATAAAAAACGCATGACCTAACCAACTTTCCTAACAATGCTTACTTATGATTATTCGTGTGCGTTATGAGAAATTATTCAAATTTAAAAGAAACATGACTGAAATGTGATCAGAAATACCACACAAATTGGAAAATCATTCAAATCTTCTCACTATTAATATGTCGAGTTATAATAGTGAAAAACAACAAAACTCCAGCGACATTAAAACGCCAGATATAACGTACCGATCAGGGTAAAATAAATAGGAATATTCCAGTTGAGTAACATTTCCACCCATGCAAATATGCATATATAGGTTCTTACACTCGTGCAATATATTCTTAATATTATGTTCAGAATTTATCAATTAATTTAGTTTTTTCGAATTGCTGTGTTTAACTCTTCTCCCTTTTCATTTTGGAGAAATACATATTTTACAATTACCATGACCCTAAATTCGTTACCCATTAATAAAAAATGTAATTTTTAAAATGAATTAGGCATAATTTTTTACTTATTATAGTGGGAGTTGGAATGAAAATCAGAAAGGAATTGAGTTGGTACGTACTGTGTGGTGGTCTGAGTCAATCTGGTTACTTCCTGGTCGTCACAACTCGGAGAGCACGAACAATACATTTTGTCTGTTGCCGATTTGTTTTGCATTTGGTATGTCGTCAGGTATTTTGAATTCTTATACATACACCACAAGCCTGTTATGTTGCACACGTCCTCCGTTTCTATCGAAAACAAACAAATCATAGTACAAATCATATTCCAAGCCTTCGATGTCTGGAACACCTGCTCTTATTCGAATATTTGGTGTCAAATTAATATTTGAAAGAGAATAAATGCGGTGTCATGTAAGTTCTAGGAAATTCATTTTTTAACCCTTCAAGCGTGTCAACGGTCTATGTTGTCCTTTAATTTCGCCCTTCCTTCCGCGTGAGAGACGTCATATACCGTGAATGCTTTTCAAACGCTCTTTCCCGTTCATTATGCGCAGTTCCTTCGGTGGTCGCCAAAAGGAATATAATTCAACTGCGTAAAACTTTTAGATAACATTTAGTTTAACGCGCTTGAAGGGTTCATCTGAGATAATCATTTCTTTTACATCAACTGCTCATTTTGTACTTCTTGTGTCAATTGCCAAATTTCTCTTCAATAAGAACAGTTTTTGGAAACAAATCATATTTTCTATAACTAGTATTATTATTATCCAAAAATTGATTATTATAAAATAACCTTTTTCATAAAAAAACAATAACTACGTTTAAAAAGTGTGCAATATAAAACATAGTCATTTCGAACATGTACTAAATTAAAACAACGAAATGAAGGGATTTCAGATATTTTTGTGCATAGTGGTTTTTTATCCTTTTTATTAAAACCACAAAATATACTTTAACTTTTATTAAATTGTATTCCACCAACTGTTGTTCACAGTTATGGTTCTTCCAACCACAGACGTAGGTCTTTCCTTGTGTTTACATTTCACTTTCTAGCCTCCTACTACGTAGTATTGAGAAAGTATTGTAATGATGGAGTAACTGCGAATTGTTGTAAAAAACTCTCATTATGGGGCCCTGATATTGCAAGTCCGTCTGTCTCTCTACCTGTCATCTACTAGTAAATTACTTCCTCAAAACCTTTGTGTAGTCAGAATTCATGATTTGCGGATCATTGACACCGTAAAATTGCAAAACGTTGCGTCCGCCTGTCCGTCCGTCTGGCACCTGGTAATTTATTTAGTGATTTAATTTATTCAAGAAAACCCATTTTTTCGGTATCAGAGACGCACAAAACTCTTCCGATATGAGATTTACTATATATACTATATATTTACTATATAACTAATGGAAATGAAACAGCACATACTTTCTCGCAATAATACAATATAATCGTTATGTTCAACGGGACGCCTACAATGCTTCATCAATTTCAAACAGAAATTTCACAAAAACTAATAACTTTTAAAAAATAGTATTGTACCTCCCCATTTTCTAGTTTTGCATTCTTTTTGCATTTTCGAAAAAACGAGCATTACCCCAAAATGGAAAGAACATTATATTTTTCCGTCCCTTATAACATATGTGAAGAAAATTTTTAGAAACAAATGGAGCGGTTTTTAAGAAAAAATGCGACAATTTCAAGGGCACAAAACTATTCATTTTTTTAAAATGTACATTATCTTTTTTAAAGAGCTAATTTTGTTCAACAAACTCTAGACAAAAATCTCTATCTTCAATTTTGTGGTTATAATATTTTTTCAATATTCGAGAAATCGGAGATATCATCGAAAATGAGGTGTACACTACTCTCTTAAACGTCCTTCACCCTGTTCAAAAAGGAAATTTGATCAAAATATTTGGAGGGCATTTGCCTGGCGCAAGGCAGACACTGACTGACGAAGGGCGAGAGCGGGACGAGGCAGCCGCACAGGCGGCGCTGGGCCTCGATGCGGCACTGCACCATGCAGGCGCTGTGCGAGTACTTGCGGTACACCCCGAGGCCTTCCTCCTCCAGCCGGCAGCGGCGCTGGTGCAGCGTGATTTGCGCCACCTGCACAACACGTCAGGGCGCACTAGCGACCTGAACAAAATCCTACAAAATGATTTTCCAAAATGTTGCACACGATGTTCGAGAATAACAAATGAAATACTATCCTATAACACCAATAAATTAAATATTTTAAGAACAGTCTTCGTACACTGCAATACTGAAGTATTACAGTACATGATACATTTTAACAGGTCTTTAAATAAAGGGGAAAATTGGCATATCGCCAATGAAAAAAATGTCTAAATCATAACACAAAACGCAAATAGCAAATACCTAATGGCAGAAAGCAATATCCTTGGAGGCTTTTGCCTCGTAATGTTATTTGTGTCATCAATAGTGCCGGACTAAATATGAAGAGTCAGAAAGCGCAGTAGGAGGGTAGGCGAAAAAACACAGTCAAATATGTTCTTTTTTCAGACAAAATGGAAACTTCTTCACTGTTTTTTTTGTTTTTTCTCGATTTCTTCCGAATCAAAGACACAATCTTAAATGGCGGTGCGAAGTTTTCAGAACATTTATGTGTATATTTGAATATCACCCAACAACGAAAGGAATTTTCAGAATTTCACAGTCGCAGCGTGGCGCATTGTTTTACATACTCACTCACAACTCATATCTCGTGAAAGACTATCAAATAGAGCACGGGAAATTCGAATTTGCAATTTGAATATTAGAAAAAATACCTATGGTCTATTAATATTTTAAAAAAGTGTACATGACCATTTTTAGAACTGATTTAATTTAACAAAAGTCTATATAGAACATCTGTATAGTACATCTGCAATGTTAATTTTTATTGTTTGCAATTTTCGGAAATGAGTCCGGTGAAAATGGGATCAGCACCACTCTTTTACGATTCCTTGCTAGGAATGTTAAATAGGAAGACAAAATTATAGAAAAAAATGGAAACGTTTTAGAGAAAATAATTGTTAAAATTGTTTTAAAATTTTCTTTGTTTTACGCAAAATTACGAAAATCTTCTCATGTTTTTGAAAAATAGGACATGCCTTTGTTTAAAGATGTGTTTATAATGAACAGATTACATTAAGAAAAATCTATCTTTAAGATTGTAGTTCTAGGAAGATACCGAAAAAGTTCTTGAACTTTTGCAATTTTCGAAAAATAAGAGATTTCAACAAATTTGTGGCTTTCGCCACTACGATTTAAAAAAAACATCCTTTAATCTATCCGTCCGATTATTTCTACACCCTTTCTTTTTATGATCGTTCCTGAACCTGTGTCTGTCTCACGAAGCTTCCAAACCATCTCATTTAGACCTTTTTAGGGGAGAAGTACATTCGTTCCTGCGTCCTCGGCCCCTTCCGACTGCCATGTGACTGAAACATCTAAAATTCCTTCGTTTCTTGTTGATTTGTAATACAATACTTCATTTATACACTTATTCTTGAGTTTACTGCATAATTGAAAAATTTAGACTCAGATGTCTTGAACACAGCACAGCAAATGTTGTAAGTTTGGCAACGAGTAGGTGATTCGCGTACGAGCAGATTTTGTTGCCCAAGCGTTGCAAAGTTGTGACAAAGTTGTGTGCGCAAATCCCTTCGCGCACGTGTTACGCTATTTTTAAAAAGCGCGAAAGGTATTTCGCAAAAGCTCTGCAAGTTTCGCGTACTCTTCGTAATGTTTCACACACTATTAAAATGAAAAATAGCTTCTTTGCGTATGGAAACTGTGATTTGCGCACATGTGTTAAAAAATCGTTTATCTACCTCCGGGTCGTTCTCTACCTCCTTGATGTTGTACAAGACGCGTTGCTTGATCTGCTGTGGTGGCACCAATAGGAACACCTCGTTGGTGTTCAGGGTGGGCACCTCGTGCCGTGGCATCACGTAAAACTGCGCAAAAAAATTATATTGTTATAGTATAATACCGTGCGTACCGATGTGTATCAATTATATTGAGAGCGTAGGCTTCCGCGGCCGGAGTCAGTATTTACTAGGCTGTCCGGGTGACGCCGCGTCCATGGCGAAGGTGCCGACGTTTCGGTCGCCATTCTGCGACCTTCCTGTTGCATTACGCCCTGAGGAAGGTCGCAGAATGGCGACCGAAACGTCGGCACCTTCGCCATGGACGCGGCGTCACCCGGACAGACTAGTAAATATCAATTATATTGGTATAATTCACTTAGGACTGCAGAGAACGCATATCGGTAGATTCGTTCACGGAACGAACAATAACGGAATGGAAAGATAATGACCTCCAAACACATTACCTCTATAAAAAGAAGGTTAGTGCACAAAAAAGGTACATCCACTTAGGTTAATACAAATGTTCTGTGGTGGAACGATTTCCATCTGAGGGGATAGTTCGGGAGTCGAGCAAATGAGCAAAGCGAGCATGAGTAACTACGAGTATTATACTACTATGCATTAATATTACTTGTTAATGTCCGGATTTTTTGAAAAATAACACTTTCCAATTTTGATAAGTCATTTGTATGCATAGTAATACACTATATTAAAATACTAATACATGTTGTATTATATTATTAAAATGGAAAATTTGGTAAGCCAGATTCTCTAAAGTAACTCATGGAATAAACATTAAGATGCCATTGATGTAAGAATTGTGATAAAGAGAAATATTAACAAAACTTGTCTGTTTAACTCATAGAATTGCTGTTTGTTCAAAAGTTTCAGGCAGCTTTAATAAATTAAATAATTCAAAACCAGCGATCTTATGAAATTTTCGAGAACGCACGTTTGCGGAGAGATTGTTTTAGGGCAAAAGAGACGCTGTGCGCATGTGGTCGAGAAAACTCCCGAAATCGTTCGTGAAAAAGAAGCGTGTAAGTCGGGTCTAAGGGTGAAGAATATTATCCAATAAACAATGATGAAATTTGATTCATACCTTACTTTTGACGTTCACTTCGAAGAAAAGAGTTCCTGGGCCCTTTTTCCGATTAGAAATCAAGTCGAGTGCAACCTTTGGTTCTCTGCAAGACGAAAAAAATGCGTCAAAGCGGAAGGCGAATAGACATGAAGCATAGGAACTAGAACGGGGACCGGCGTCAACGAACATTAAAAAAGAACAAAAAAGAAGGAAAGAAGAACACAAAAACCCAGGATAGAAATAGACGCATGCAAAGCTATTACAAATTAAACAATTCAACCAGCAACATGATATGTTTACGTTGTTCGTACAGGTATCATTCTCGAGACGACAGAACTGCAGAAGTTTTCGGTACTAGATAAAAGTTTTGTTGCTTCAATACTATCGATGCTACGATTATATATTATTCGCGTATAGGTTACTATTAACGACGCAACACCTCTCTCCGAGGCCCGGTTATATTCTAGAGATTAAAGAGTGGAATTGTCGGTCCGGATGGTCGAGATAGCTAAGATCCGGGATCGCTTCCTGACTTCTGCCTTAGCGATCTAGGACCGAAGGATCACGGGTTCGAATCCCGCCTCGAGCATAGCTGTATTGTGTTTTCCTTGCACAGTTACCATACCGTTACACGCAATAGTGATCACTAATGACCTAGAAGTTGAATAACACGACGTTAAATAACAACATAAGTGTGAAATTATGGGAATCAATATTTCGACTGCATCTCTTGATAAAGACAAGCTTGTTAGCCTTAAGGGGGAAATATCATTATTACTATTATTATTATTGTTATTATTATTATTATTATTATTATTATTATTATTATTATTATTATCATTATTATTATGGAGTGATGAGGAGTGAAAGGACTAGGATGATGGTAGGAGGTGTTAGATAGGATAATGAGGGGGAAAGGATACATTGGATTTTGCAACCATCCCAGTATTTGCCTTGTGACCGAGAGAAACCACGAAAACCCAGGTCTGGCCCGAGGATCGAAACCCGACTTCCCGATTGCAAATCCAGTGCTCTAAACACTGAGCCACATCGCTTGGTTATATTAGCTGAGCTTTAAAATCTCAGGTGGAGGGATCTTTTGGGATATGAGAAAGATTTACGCCAAGACACAGGCTCGGGTACAACAGTGTGTATATTCTCTCCAGAATATGGCCACTGATAACAGCACTGGACGAAATATAAATACCATATATTATATATATATATACAATATATATATATATACAATATATACACATATATACATATATATATATACATATACATATATACATATACATATACACACACATACATATATATATATATATATATATATATATTGTGTCGTCACCAAATAATATTATAATATTTTTATATCGAAATAGCTTCCATCAAAGTTAAGTAGGTCGCGGAACTGGGCTTTTGTTGCGAAGAAACCTAACAACCGCCCAGCCGCGCCCGCACATTGACAGCTGCCCGACCGACCGCTGGGGAGGGTGTCGCTTAGTAGCGGACACATTTATGGCCCGTCATATACACCTCGCGCTTCCACCCTTCGCGGAGACACCGGGCACTCAGGACAAAAAATACGCGCCCGCGCGCCCTTTTGCCACGCGCCCGCGCAAAGAATCCAAATTCCCAAAGGGGTTATTTACAACTCGAATGTCGCCGGCTGCCGATCAGCCTCCGCTGACAAATTTATGGCCCAGAAAACACGCAACCGCTCGAACAAGTGTTCGGACAGCTGCGAGAGAAGCATCGCTTAGAGAAAGAGAGAGAAAAAAAGAGAAGCGAGAAAAAAAAGAGAAAAAGGGAGAAAAAGAGAGAAAAAGAGAGAAAGAGAGAGAAAGAGAGAGAAAGAGAGAGAAAGAGAGAGAAAGAGAGAGAAAGAGAGAAAAAGAGAGAAAAAGAGAGAAAAAGAGAGAAAAAGAGAGAAAAAGAGAGAAAAAGAGAGAAAAAGAGAGAAAAAGAGAGAAAAGAGAGAAAGAGAGAAAAGGGGAGAAAAAGGGAGAAAAAGGGAGATAAAGAGAGAAAAAGAGAGAGAGAAAGAAAGAAAGAGAGAAAGAAAGAGAGAAAGAAAGAAAGAAAGAGAAAGAGAGAAAGAGAAAAAGAAAGAAAGAGAAAAAGAAAGAAAGAGAAAAAGAAAGAGAGAAAAAAAGAAAGAGAGAAAGAAAGGAAGAGAGAAAGAAAGAAAGAGAGAAAGAGAGAGAGAGAGAGAGAGAGAGAGAGAGAGAGAGAGAGAGAGAGAGAGAGAGAGAGAGAGAGAATCTTCCTGGAAAATTCCGTAAACGGTGCATCCCGATTGGAGAACTTCAAAATTAAAACGCACTTAGTTTAGGCCTATGGGACGTCTCATCGTGAGGGTAGGGAGGATCTGCAGGTTCGGAAACGTTCAGGAAGGGGGAAACGGAGGTAACTTGGACGCGAGATGTGCAGAGAGACTTCACTATAATTCAGACTCTCGAAAAAGCACTATAATGCAGACTCTCGAATAGATTTTTAATTCAGATTCTCGAATAGACACTCTAATTCTCTCTAAATTACGCCTAAAGTCACTACTGAGAGAACATCATTTACATTAGAATTACCGCGGAGGAAACTTGGGCGGGAGATACATCCCGCATAACCTTCCCGATAACCGATCCCGCATAACTTTCGCATAGTTGATCTGCATCCGCCGCCTAGTACCATATTTGGGCCCATTCAAGCCCGCACTAAACCACGGCCAGCAGCCATGCGTCCTCAACTGAATGAGTCCGCCCGATGTGACGACTCCGTCGCCACGCCACGCCGCCAGCTGAGGAGGAACACCCAATAGGAGGTCGGTGACCTGAGCCGTCTTCGAATGAGGACCGCCATCCAGCCGGTCTGCGGAGCTACCGCCAGCCAGCCAGTGGTGATTAATCCGGTATTTAACCGGAGTCGAACTATCTCCAGTAGAGGCGCGGGGCTCCGTCGCAGGACATTTTGGCAAGAGACTAAGAGTGGCCGCGCTCAGGTCTTGTGTATTATAGTTAAATATGCATGAATTGTTATCAATAAGTCATTAATGTTAGAGTTAAGAAATTTTTTCATTAACGTTAAGATTATGAGCTCGTAACGTAAGGTTAGCAAGTAATCTGTGTGACTTGTAACTTCCCTGGCAGCTCATGTTGCCAGGAATAAATTCAATTTTGTTAGAAACGATTCAATGACTGATTTAGACCTCACTCTCCATCCATCTGTTACCAGAACTGAACCTGGTGGCCCGACATATCTCCTATCAAGCCGGATCTCACATTACAAAAATATATATATTATATATTATATATATATACGATATATATATATATATATATAGTGACGTTTGGGACATGCACCAAACATCCCAGCCACCCTCGCCGCCACGGCGACGCCCAGGAAAGTGTTAGCCAGCTAGCTGCTCTCCAATAACAATCCTATCATATAGATATTTCATCACTGACAAGATATCTCGTATGGGTATAACAATGTATAACGCAGACTAAGCTAATATTACTACTTACGCAGTATGGATGTTGTTGAAAGAATAGCATGTGCTATACTCATTCTCCAGAAACAAGAACTGGTGGCAACACGGAAAGGGAACGTCGTTCCACCTGCACTCCCCGAACATTTGTTCACATGGCCTCCGAAACTGCAATACGCAACAACAGGAACGATTGAATACGGTAACTTCAAGCAAAAGTGTATGCAGAATTACGCATGCCATCGTTTTAAGCAACAATTGATCGAAGCGTATTCAAAAAATAAAGTTGCAATGGACAGTATACATTAATAAGTTTTTTATTGGGCTGTATCGTCTATACAGTTGTAGGTAATTGGGTGAAGCGCGAGAAAACAATACACAATTTTAATTGTTTAACTTAAATTGTTTTAATTTGAATTCATCGTTGAATCTGCGTAAGCAGTTATTCTTAAATTTTGTATATGCAACGTGTTCATAAGTACCACAGTCTCTTCAGACGTGGCACCAAGTATGGCTTTTACAGATAAATAAAGTGTGTGTTGTCTTCTGAGACAAATGGCAAACCTCTGTAAATGAACTACCCACTCTATGATAACTTTCCTTTTAAATTCTCTTCTCAGTTTTAGCTCTAAATGAAAGAGAAGGAATATTTTCTTTCAACTTATGTACACGTACCTTGGTAAGAAGTTCTTTGAAGCCATCTGTCGGGCATTGTGAGCTTGGGATAAAAGTTCCTTTGGGATCAAAACATTTGTTTGCTCTGATTCCTACTATTTTGTACTTGAAGAATGCTAGATTTTCCAATAGCAATCTTCTGCTTCCACTCTCGCTGGAACCGCAAAACACAAATATGTTATACTTCATGTTGGTGTCCAAAAAATTAAACAAGTGTATAACAACACTCTGAGACACACTTTGCTGTTGCTGTATCCTCCTATATTTGATATAAGTTCCGTTCTACATTTATAGGGAGAATACTTAATACCAAAAAGCCACAATTTAATGATTTTGAAATCATTGAATGGTTGATTAGAAATTGTAAATTATAAACAGAAAAGTCTTTTCAGTCCGCTGAAGTATTTTATTGTGCACGTCAATGACCCCGGAAGTGAGTCACTCTTTAGATGGTTCATTGAAAAACACCGTGCGTTTATTTACGTAAATCACAAAAACATTAGTGGTGTTACAAAATGACAGATTTTCTAGTTTAAGATAATTTCCTTTTTTTTAAATCAGGGCTTATGAATGTATTTGGTTTGGCCCCTTCCTCTTTCCAGCTGTTATTCGTATCTATCGGCGCATTAAACATCTACCTCCTACCACTAGCTGATTTCCTCCGAGAACTTTCTCAGAGAAAAGCGCCTTCGCGCTCCCCGATATCGCGGAGGTCTACTATCTTGGCTCTGGGCCTTTACGTACTTGCTCACTGTTTCCCTTGGACCCATCAAGGTCCATTGTACTTCGCGTAGGAATCAAGTTCCTCAATGGCGTGTTTGTAGATTCAAAATGAGTAATAAATGTTCATGAAGAGGTAAATCGAGTGTGCACTTACTTTTTCATCACCAGCTCAATGTACTTGCTAGGCTCTTCATCGCAAACAGTAACGCTAAAGAATTTGGTGTCCCAGGAGAGGTAGTTGGTCTCCGTGTTGAAGCTGATGGCGTTGTTCTGAAAGGCGTCCCACGAGGCGCGGATGAGAAGAATGGACCCGTACCACGACAGCAGGCAACACGCCAGCCAGAAGAGACTGCACAACACCAAAGGGCGGTTAGATCCTTTCCAGTTTCTGCGATTGCGTCTGAAGGAAGTTTTGCTCGAATTTCTCCAACACCTTGCCAGTTAATTTTTGCGGTTAAGTCTCGTTACTGTAGAGCCAGACGTCTTCGTGAGATATTTTACGCGATCCCTATTTCCCTACAGGATTGAAATGTGCGTAATCTTCACGGTAGTGGACGTGTGTTGTAAAGGTATAGTATAAATTCATTCTACAAGGTTTCTAGTTAGATTTCTTACAAATTGACTCTAAATATTCATGTTTATTTTGTGACAAGAGAATACCCTAAACAATGTGATTATTCTATGTTGATTCCATAATATTGCTTGGAGTATCATATTGTCTCATAATTACACACGAAATAAATATGTTAGAGGTAATTTCCATTCAATTGATAACTATTGAAAGGTAAGTTGCACATATTCAACAATAACATGCGTATAAAAAATACATTTTCCGGACGTTTCTTTCCAGACAGTTCTTTCAGTGTAGTACAAATGTTCTGGTGTGTTTTGCATCGTCCCTCGTTCCTCATCTGGAAGTTTCTTTCAGGGAATTTTGATCTAATAACACTGCACACAAAAAAGTTGTTAGACCCAAAGGCTTAACAAATGCTTCTCTATGGGTGCCGACACGCTGAATCCGAATCTGAAGCCAGAATGGCGCCACTACCCTCCATTTTTGTAATCGTAAAACCAACGTAAAATTTACCTTCTACAATTTCACGTTGGTTTGTCTTGAAAATAAATATGGAGGCTGGTGGCGTAATTCTAGCTTCCGATTTGGATTCAGAGCGTTACATAGCGAAAAATGTGTGAAGCCTAACAACAGCCTGAAGTAGTTATCATAATCATCAGATGACAGTTTCAACAGCTCACTACATAAAACTCACATATAATACATGTACATTATTTTACAACACATTGCCAGATGACTTTAAACGCCTAAATTCGATACAAAAGTTTAAGTCCCAAGTAAAATCTTTTCTGCTGCATAACTGTTTCTATACAATTAGAGACTATATCGAGCATCCAAAAGGAAAGTTACATTAATTTTAACAATGACATTTAATGTATTATATATCATTTGATTGTATAATTGTAAAGAACCTGTAAAACGTATTGTACTTCAGTTTCTGGGTCAATGACCCCCATCTCGATAAGGTTTTCGTCCAGTTTTCCTGATCCTCGAGCAAATGCTGGGATGACCCCTGGTTTTGCTTCTGGACATAAATGTAACTTCAAATTAATTTCTCCCCATAGCACGTCACACGCAATTTTTAACTATTTTTGACGTAAATAAATAAATAAATAAACCCTCTGAAGACAAAAATAATACATTTTCACAAAGTATTTTTTGCGATTAAAAAAAACTTGGTAGGTGGAGGTGCAATTCTTTTATGTACGTATTCAGTGCGTTGATAAACACAGAGGAACTTGTGTCAAGTCTTTCGGTCTGACGACAACCCCCGATGGCAAAAAAATACATTTTTATGATGTTATTGCGATTTAAAAATATTGGAAGGTAGTGACGCAATTCTGGTTTTAAGTTCGGATTCGGCGCGTCAACATACAGAGAGAAACTTTAAATCTCTGTGTTTGACAACAACCCCGATTGCAAAAAAATACATTTTCCGGATTTTTTTGCGATTTAAAAAATTGAATGGCTTTCTGGCTTCACTTTCGGCTTCAGCACCTTGACCTACATTGAGAACTATTGGGTCTGACTATCGAGTCTTTGGGTCTGACATTATTGACATTATTTTTTGTTTGCCTGAGCATTATTTGCAAGAAAACTCCTCACTGAGGGCACGATCAGCTTTCTGTGCACCATTTCACGTCACGCAGTTACAAGTAACCTTTTTAATGTCGACTAGTTTACTTATATACTATTTATTTACGGTAAGCTTTTAAATTGTAAATTTGGAATTATTCCCCTCAACTTTGAACGACAACCATAAAGAGGTCAAAGTTTTTCCGGCCCTGGCTTGTAAGTTAAAGTTTAAAACTAGAAATACCGCGTTAAATCATATCATTGGGATATATTACGATCCTGGTAAAACCCAAATCTGAAGTACCTTGGGCTGGATCCTTTCCCAGAAGATATTAGACATCTGGGTGTCTGTTCACAACATCAAGGACAACCATTTTAGGCGATTAGGGTTCATCATCAAGTAGGTCTGTCGTTTTTAATCGGTCACCGACTCTTTCCTCTTTTCTGTGCAGCAAAAGTATTCATTCACATTTCTCTCTGGGTACCGAAAACGTAACATGGTATGGTAATGGCCTCGGAATAAGGTCTGCGAAAGGAAATCCTCCCCCGAAATACACTAATTTCGTTGATATCGATTTCTGGTATAATGACCGGTCGTCTATTACGGACAATGACTTGTCTGTAGAGTCCCTATTATGTTGGTATAACAGCACCGCTTAACTTCGCAACTGTCATTAATTGAATTCGTATCTCTCTTTGAGAAAATTGATCTCATATAGTGACAGGAAAGGTCAAACGACTTCACGACATCATATTTTCTCGTAGACTCACACAATATCCAAGAAAGGAAACAAATGACATAGGACATGCTTTAGATCGCTAAAAATGGAGGAATGTGTATGGAGGAACGTCTTTTCGTGACTGCGAATGTCTCATAGAAGGAAAAGTCATAAAGTCCATGACGCCCTCGAGTCCGCAAGGTCAGTATCGTAGGCCCATTGGGACTCAATTACTTTAATACCAAATTATTTTAGGACGAAGTTGATTTGAAATGAGTCTCATATTTTCTAGTACATAGCGACTCTCCGACCTACTCCAAACAATGTTGAGCCTAGACAAAGGATAATTTCCAAAGCAGAAGTATGCAAAAATACTTTTAAGATCTGTTATAGCTCGCGAACTTCTTATTGTGCGGCGAGGTTCAGATCTGCGTGAGTTATATGAAACAATCTGGAGTTTATGCAATGCATAATTTTCAACTTATTTTTTTGAAAATAATGTAAAGGAAATTCGTTGCGGGCGAACAAGGAAGGCTCGTACATCAACGTCAAGCAGTCTTGTTACCATCCGCGCCAACACTTGATGGGGAATGCAGTGCCATCCGCTAAGCTCAGAGCCTGCTATCTGTGCAGATGCTCTGACCAGGCGCTCCTAGGGGTCGAGTCCCGAGGATGAGGTATTTTCGACACAAGCGATATAGGTGTGTCGAATTCAAGCGCTGTATGTAGGAGAATTCTAGCTCTGCTGCAGCGGCTCTGCTCAGCAGTTTCTTCCATCACTAATCGGCGAATGCTCGTGCAGTGCCGTACTAACACGTTTGGAACCACGCACGATTTTTCTGTCCTCTCCTTTTTCCTACCCTATCACGTTATACACGCTTACTTGTCCTTCACAACCACTCACGTTGAGGGTTGGTCGAGAGATTAGAGATTGTCCGGGCGGGGATGGTGCCCGGCTGGTGGTAGATACTTGGTTGGAGAAATCCTCGAATGTCTACGTGTAGGTCGGATCTCACCATCTAGCGGGAGATAAAATACTGCCCCTTCCCGGTATAATAACACTCACTACACAACGCAGCAGAGAGCGGAGGTTTCTGGGGGACGGAGTGAAAACCTCCTCGGCAGTCAGGAAGACGCCAAGCCTTGACACCTGTGCCTAGCTCGCGGCGACTCCCGGACAGCCAAATAAATAGTGCACCGAGACACTTCGTAACTGAACGCGTATGCAGGGCATCTCAACTCCCACATAATGGTGGAGACCATTACAGTGGGCTTCTCTCCTGTAGCACCATCTGACAGGAACTAAAATACGAACTGCTGCCAACGATACTTATAACGCGCGTGGCTGCTGCGTGAATTTCCGTGTCGCAAGCAGGCGCGAATGATTACAAACGATAGCGCCGATGGTTCGCGCTTTTTTCAACGGTTTCGTAGATGTATAACGTATATTATACCTGTACATTTAGAAAACACTTTCCGTATTTCTCACATATAAACCAACGTCTCTGTGTGGAAATTGGCGAGCCTAACCTGCAGCTGCACCTGGCGACTCTAGCGCCTCCTACAGTAGCACCCGGAAGGGGTGCGCCTCCGATTTTGAAGGCCTTGCGCGTGTGAGGCGCTCACCGCTCGGTCCAGTGGCGCCGCTCGTCGGCGATGAAGCGAAGGCCGTGGAAGGAGGAAAAGTCGCAGTAGTCGAGCAGCAGGCGCCCCGCGCCCCTCAGCCCGCGGGCGCTGGCCGCCAGGCAGCGCCAGCAGCTGTTGCTACGGCGTCTGCTGCTGCGTAGCTGCATGGCTGCGGCGCTGGCACGCTGCGAACATGTTCAGGTGGTCGGAGGAACGCGGAGCAACATACGCACGGTTATGTTTCGGGAATCACGGCGCCCGTGGGCGGCAATAGTGGCACATCTCAAAAAAATACGAATTTTGAGTTAATGCACTCCCCGGAATTTCAGATTGCTTGGTTGGTTGTTAGTGATCAACACGCGATAACTACTGAAGTCATTAGTCCCGTAAGTGAAGTGCGTGCTTTTGCTCGGGAGGTGGCAGTGATTATCCCCGCTGGATGACTAGATCCGGCGCCGACCTACCGTCGGCTAGCGGGGTTTCCCTCAACCAGATATCTCTCACCAACGGGGCACCGCCCCAGCAGGAATAAGCTCTAAAATCCCGACGAGTCTACCGATATGTGTGGTGTAGAGAATGATAGTGTAAGTATGTGAGTATAGAACAAGGAAGAGGAATAAAAGACCGTTCTCACTCCGTGGTCCGTTTATTGGGTACTGCTTCGGCATTCACCTGGTGTTGGAAAAACCATGGAAAACTACCGTTCTGGAATTCTCCTCCAGACAGCAACTATAATCGACCTAGCTTACAAGCTAGTGTCAAAATCTTACCACTGTCGGGACTTCAACCTAGGACCGCCTGATCAAAGTCATTGCAGTGAAATCAGTTAATACACAGAGCCAACTCTCCCGGTTTCAGTTTGGTCTACCTCTAATCAGTAACAGCAGTATATCTTGCAGCACAGTATTCCACCGCCCAATGGCAGATGTGAGAATGCATGAATGACGTATTTCAATACAAGGTGAACCTTCATACGCGTTTATCTCAACATCTGATTGTTGGAGTTGTGGTACAATTGCAGCTCACAAATGATATAGTTGTTATTATTTTTATTTTATTTTCTTCTTCTTCCTTTCGTTCTTTCTGACTTTTGATTCTGCTAGAACTGGATGGCTTTGTTCATTTCTATTAATAACGAAAATATATTTAACAAAATGAAAAATTATTTTAAAGAAATTATTCGCAAACATCGCGTTGGAGAAGGAGTGTATTAATAGTTCAATAATTAATACACATGCATGCAGTTCAATTCCCGGTAAGTTACCTTCTGGTAATAATGTTTCTTATGAAACAGTGCTAGGGTAGGCCAAGTCCCAAGCCAAGTCGCATTAAAGAGGGCTGTATAGTCCTCGCGAGCGCAACAAGTAACACTTTCTATCAAAATAAATTGGTAATAAAATTGCGTTTATCTCGAAAACGGCATCCGTTTGTTACATTTTAGCACCTAATTTGTGTTTTCTTATTAAAATGTATAAAATGGTGTACGTCTTACGTCATTGGGTGGTGAAATAGTACTAATGCAAGTTCATCAAATACTAGTAGGTTAAAACAGGGTGTCGTATTAATCAGAACAGGATGTAGAGTTGTTGCAGCAAGAGTTTAGATTGTTTTGTAAAGCTACTGCTTCAATTTTCCGCACCATTTTTATTTCACTACTAATAGAATTTAGTCGTTGGTAAATTTGGGGTTAACATAATCAAAGTCTCCTTGATAACTGTACAAATGTGTATTCTTCCAACATTTAGATACCACAGTCAAACGCGAGGCAACGGCCTGGTCATTTTCAAATGGCATGTGCAGATACATGTGTATACCCAAGAACTTAATATTGGTACTGATTATACCAGAGTAAAGCAAATATTTTATTTGTTTCTTCTTCAATTCCAATAAGCATGTCGAAGGATAATTTAAATGCGTAGGGTGAAGAACCTTGGAAATATTTATTGTGCGACATAACGCCTCTCAATATTTGTGTTATGTGAACATTTCTTTTGGATCGGAGACTCGTTTAGTCTTGCGGCCTTTATGGTGCCCCGCCTTTCTCGACCCCACACCAGTCACCAGATGATTACACGACCCCATTCCTTTACGTATTAATTCCCATTACGTACATCCCATTATATACTTACTATTTGAAACTGAAATCGTCGTTTTTTCTAAATTTATTTTCAACTGTATTTCTTTACACTGTTTTCCATCATGTGTAATTTTAATTCCTAAATACTTGTATTCATTTGTGTGTACTATTTTTTTCGTGTAAAATCAAATCTTTCTTATTGTCTTCAATTACCATATATTTAGTTTTCTCCATATTAACTTTTAGATCCCACTTGTTACATTCTTGAATTAATTTTCTTGCCATAAATTCTATATCGCCTATATCATGTGCAATTATCAACTGATCGTCAGTAAATTGCAACGTATAAATCGTGGAATCATATTCCAGTAAACTCATTTTATTACATTTTTTCTTCCAAATTTTCAAACAATTTTCTATATAAATTTTAAAAAATGTAGGTGATATACAACATTCTTGACGTAATCCTTTATTCACTACAAAACCATGCGATTTAAATTATCCAATTTTTATTTTCAAAAAATAATTTTTATATACCATTCCTGAAACGATTTTACTGTAACCGGATTAACATGACGGGATCAAAAGATCCCATACTTTGATTAAGTGTACGCTATCATAAACTTTTTCTTTATCAATAAATATTAAATGGAGAGGTTGTGCTCGAGGAACATTTTTGCAATAATTTCTTTTAAACAAAAGATATGTTCTATTGTAGATGTACCTACTGTAAATCCTACCTGTTCTTCTGCATCAATAAAATTGTTTTCCAAAAAATACTTCATTATTTTCCCGTAGATTCTGCTAAATATGCTGGTGACGCTAATACCTCCGTAATTTCTACATTCATCTTTCCTTCCTTTTTTATGCATCACTGAAACATAACCTATCTTTTGGCACTGTTTCTCCTTTAAAACACTTTTCAAGTAATTCTCTTAACAAGTTATATAATTTATCAGCTCCATATTTTAATAATTCACTTGGAATTCCACCTACATCCGTTGCTCTTCCATTCTTTAACGATGTAATTGTTTTCTTCACAATTTCGATATCTACATTAATATAGTTATACTGTATATAACGTATTATAATATTTCTTGTGCGAGATACATATTCTTCTGTTTTCTTGATAATAATTCTTTAAAATAATTTCCCACTTTGGATATTAATGCAGTGAATGTGTTCATTTTCCCTGGAATTTTTCCTAAATTTCTCAATAATTTTCCATGCTTCTGTATTTCTTCCTCCAATAAAATTCCCTGCTTTTTGGCACATTCCATTCTAATTAAAGTTTTTAATAATCACCTTATCTTGTTAGGTTTTTAATTTTATTTATCTTGAATTTCTTGTGTAGATAACCATTTTAGATATTTTTTCTCTGTTTATTCTTTTCTCATTTTCTATCTCTTAATTCCAATAATGAAGTAATTTTGATTTGGGAGAATTATGACAAACGCTGAAAGCTTTTTTAGCTGAATCATGTACACAACTTAATATTTGTTGGTTCTGTTAGTCAGTGGAATTGTATGTAATGCTCGATTGCTTTTTGTCCATGCCTTTTTTATATAGAAATACTGTACTTTCATCTTCTTTCATCTTAATCCATTACAAATTTTAAAAGCATTTTGTTCACATATATCAATAAGTCTGATATCCATAACATTTACAATTGATTACCCAAAAGGTCCTACAATACTACTTCCACTTTGGTGCCCTATTCTGCTATTCAAATCTCCAGCAAAATGATTTCTCTTGCATTTGCAATGTCTTCAATTAATGTGTCTAATTTATCAAAAAAATCAGCCTTTGATTGCACTAATACATCATCATTTACAGCATAAACTCCTAGTATAGTTATTTTATACCCATATATGTACATATTCACTTTTAATAAATTTCCATCTATCGATTCCTAACGGGTAACACCCTTTTTATATCTTTGTTTTATTAATATAATTATAAAAATATAAATATGATCCTTTAACTTAAACACCATTTCCCTTCTTTTTTTGTTTCTGATACCATAATATCTTGTTTTCTTCCTGTTTCTTCTGTTTTTTAATTTTTTTCAATAAACAGGGTGTTAGCCTGTAGCATTAACGCACAACTTGGAGAGCCAAGCTCAGGCCATAGCCTTAGCTAATCCAGGGTTTTCGTCCCTTAGCCTTTGACAAATTAACATCGAAACTGCAAGGCTGCAGCTGGTGTTTTATACTACTTTACAGTATTACTCGTTTATGTATGAAAAGTGGAGGATTTCTAGAATTTATTGTATGAAAGTGAATTGGTCATTATGCGGTGGATAGACTCAAGGATGTTTATAGTGAACGCGAGGGCCGAAGGCCCGAGCCTCGCTATAACTTTGATCTGGGCGAGGGAAGCGAGAAAACTTACCTTTGAAAGTAAATTGGGATTACAATGCGGCGGGGACAACGTGTATGAAGGATAAGCCATGAAAATTGCCTATCCGCAAGTTTTATTCAGTTCTATCCGAGCGCGTAGCGTAATTAGAGGGAGAACTTACGGAGACCCCTTTCCCCCGCCGCCACGCTTCTTTTAGGGCGTATCGTGTACCGTACTTTAACCACATTTTCTTCACTTTACAAATGCTTATAATTTCAATATTACATATACAGAAAAATAATTATAAAAACGCATTGATTTATTATGTCTAGCATGGTTTCCTCGAAATTCTAATGCACAATAACGTCAACATTGAAATAAATTAATCAAATTAACTATTTAATTATTATATTACACAATTAAAATACGAACCAATGTAAAGGTAACAAATTATTTCATTGTTATAACAATCACACTATGAAAAGGTCCTTTTACATTCTATTTTCTCGAAGTTCAAAGCATCGCCTTCAAGAATAACAGTGAAACGCCCTTTAGTACAGAATATTTCTCTTTCAGATGTCGATACGACCTTACATTTTCTATTTGCTATGTGAGCGATGGGTAAGGTCATTAGAAAGTGAAAAAGGAAGTTAAAACTCCCGTCAAAATATAAATTACAGAACAGTACATTCTCATATTCTGACGCACATTTACGTACATTTGTGATTTTAGAAACACATATTTTCCAATTATTCAATTCAACCATACTGATACTACTAATATCAAATTTTGATTTTACTGCCACTACTCACCAGACGAAATGGTACACTCAGCTCTTGCGGCAAATGGTTTGGCTGATGCCGCATCGATTAAGTTTAAATCATAGGTGGTCAATTACGAATCTCACTGAATAAATGGACGACATAATGACTTTGGTTCGTCCCCAACAGGACTTCACAAAGGATCACGTTTTGAAAATAGTGTCACAGCATTGCGGCAGCGGTTGGGTCGCGTGTGTGAGGAAATCGTTTGTTGTGTCGTGTGTCCTCGGCAATCTGTGCTCCGAGCCCCGTGCGACGTGCTGATGGCATCTGGCGGTTCAGATCAGCCCCCTGCCCCTCCGCACCGCTGCAAAGCCCCGCCCTAGCCCGCGCCTCCGTCACGCGCCTTTTCCCGGCTACGTCCCGCCCACACCCTGGCGCGTTCCGCCTCATGTCCTGATGCCCCGCCACCACCTTCCCGCCCCGAAACTTTTGAACAGACCCGACTCGACCAACACCGCCCTCACACTGCCGCTACCCATCCTACAGGTCTCTGGCGACGTCATATACACGGCCTCCGCCCCCGCCGACCCCGTCCCCGCCACTGCCTCCATTCCCGTCCCGCCCTCGCCTTTGTTGCCGCGTCCGCCCCGCACTCGCCCCTGTTTGTCGCTGCCTTTGCCTTCGTCCTCTACGTCACCGTCTCTGTCTCCATATCGTGTCGGCGCGGAGTTACGTTACGAATCCCCCTGACGATCTGAGGTCGCACCACAGAGATACGTCCTCGGGGTTGCGAGTTAGGTCTAGTCAAAAATTAACGAAGTGGAACAGTTAATCAGGCCATCGCGTACTTGGGCTCGATCCATCCGGCTGATTTGTTTTCCAAACTGGGTAAAATGTCGAAAATACGCTTGAAATATGGAGCAACAAGTTTAAAACTTTTTTGTGCTTCAGGCAACCTTAATTATAATAGTTATTAACATCATTTTAACCAAAAGAGAAAATACATGACGCCGTTGAAGTTTGTAAACCGAGGCAGTAGCAGAGATTTATAATTAACAGTATATTTTTTGGGGTTATTGACCGCGGGTCGTTCAATACTTTCTTTAATACCATTCCCTTCTAAAAATCGTGTGCTAAACAAGGTAAATCATTTCTTGGAATAAGTGTGCTCGTGGTCCATCTTTACCTAGAGATCATTTTTTATCGTTCTTGACGGACGGCGGGCTATTAAATACCAGCAACTAGAAACAAACGACCTTTTCTGTTGCAATAAATATTTTAAAATTGGGTATTTTACGGCACAAATGATGACTTATTAGATTTTACAGCATGAATGATTGCGTCATCACACATTCGTCCAATCACAGCGCGACAATGGTGGGGAGGTAGAGGTAAACGGAACAGCCGACCACAATTTTCTCGGACGGATATCAAATATCCGAGACATCACAAGGAAGTAGTTTCGCAAAATTAAGTTGATATTCTTATAAATTTATAATGCTGGCCATAAAACGCATTTTTAATCAAGATACGGTAAAAATGAGGTTAGAGTTTTAAAAATATTGGAAAAGTATGTTTCAAAGCAATGGAATTCATATTATCCTAAAACCATCCAATATCACTAAATCCTGAGCGATAACTCAAGAATAAAATGTAAAACAGAAATTATTTTTGCTTTATGCCTTAATTTTTTTTTCTAAAAATAATTTTATATTTGTGTTCTGCTTGAATACATTCCCCTTTTTCTAAGGTATTGCAGTTATCATGAATTTTATTTCCGGCAAAGATTTTGCAAAAATAATTATTTTATGATATTTCTCGCGTGGAATGTCCTATTTTAGAAAATTAAACATTCTCTGTTGTCACGAACAGACTTTGCATAATATATATTTGACACTAAAAATGTTGCTACCTTGCGTTGAAATCGTTTGCACGGAATCCTGTGAGTTAGAACTCTTCGTCTAACTGTATTTCATCACCATGTGTGACATGAAACTCACAATGACTGCAACCTCCAACAAAACTTGTCGTAAGGCATTTGAGTAAAGTTCCTTACCCTCCGTTGTTTATAAGCACTGTTAGGCTGCAGCTCTGATTTGACGGCCGTTGGTAGAGCTAGCGCTCAAACATTCACAAAACTACAAATTTCTTGCACCATAATTGATCAGAGTAATCTCTTTAATGAAATAACCTTCAATTCTTGATCCTTGCGTTGATCTCTTATTTTTCACCGGGACCTAAAAAGAACACATATGGGGAATAATAAAACAGTGCACTCGTTCCAAATTTGAAATGTAAATGGTTATCTTTTTGTATCTCACGGTCATCTTTCAAGGCCGAACTATAATTAGTAAAGTGGATTAATATATGTATGGCTACTATGCTTTCTAATAATTTTACTGTGAAACAATTGTATTTTTGTTATATTTCAGTATTATAATAACTTTTTAATTTTTGTATCTTATTTGTTTTTCGCGACTTCCTTTTTTATTTTGAAGTTTTGTATTTAAAATTTTAATTGAATATATATTTTTTTCTATAATGATGTTGCATTTCATGCCATCAGCTTTTGTGTATCAAATTTTTGTACGAGGGCTACCACTCGTTTAAGAAGAAAGAAATCAATTCAAATACTTTTGGGTTAATGTCAGACACTCCCAACAAATTTGGGGAAACTTCCTAAAAACCGAAATTAAGATATCAAAATTAGAGTGATAAAGCTGGACCCGCACTTTCTCAAACCTCAAACAATTGTATACCATCGATACTAGGGAATTTCGTTTATTTATTTTTGGCTCACATTTCAAAATTTCGAATCTCACCCCAAATTACGAGAGCAAAAAATGAAAGCAACCCCAGTTTCTCAACACCCGAAAATATTTGCGCCGTCATTTTTAGCTAACTAATGACACCACAGCAAATGGCTAGCAACCTATCCACACTTCTCGGGATTCGGCGGATAGTCGCTCGCAACACGCTGAACACCGAATGCATGAGGCCCCTTTAAGTGAAAGCTTAACGAGGAATTGGAAGACCATGCGTACTGTGAGCTGTAGAATACACAGAACCGGAAACTCCAGGAAAGAAGTGGTTGCCAGTATTGAGAGCCAATTCGGTTTCTATGAGCTTGGACTACTCTTGTGACATGTAATGCAGTGGGTGTTATATTATAGAACAGTATTTTGGTTACAGTGTGCCGTGGTGAATACAGAGTGCTACTGTGCGATACGGGACACTACTGAGTCTCCTACTGCTTTTTCCTTGAGGACTAGGAGAGTTAGCTGGATGACCTTTGGTGACACTCGCAGCGGCTGTTTCACGCTGGCTTAAACAGAGTGCCAAACTTACCTGCTCGAAAGTATGGTCTACTGCTTCATGAAAAGTTGTAGAATAGGAAAGGCAATTAGCGGAAGAGCAAATAAAGTCACATTTCATACAGTATACTTATAGTTTTTATTTACATAAAATGCAAAAAGCATTTTTAGAAATAAGAATATATCCACACATTCATACACATGTTTTTGCTTTTCCGAAATACTGCTGTAACATAAAAAATCTGTTTTGTTCAGGAGAGCGTGATTTAATTTCCCCACAACTTCTTTTGATTCCAATTAATTGACATTCAACTTATATCAAAATAACTGATTACATCACTTGTTTTTTAATTTATTAAAATTGTTTTTACAAAACTACATTTTAACAACATTATTTCATAAAAAAAGATGCCGATCTTCCTCCATGAAATAGCAATGCATGTCCTACCAACCGGCAATTGGTAAAATGTCAGATATAAAGATTTATTCCACATAAAAATGTTTTTACTGATTCCCCTTATAATGTCAATTTTCAATTTTTTGAGTTACAACAGTATTCCGAAAAAGCGGTGATATGTGTCAAGTAAAATTTTTATTGTAGTATAAAATTGCAATTTCAATAACATACTTACATGTATATGAAGGTACTTTATGATATGGAGGATACTTAAACATAACATCTGAGTTATATCTGTGTTCTCATAAACTATTAGAATATAAACATACTCCAAAATTTCACCAAATTTTGTTCAGTTTGATGAGGAAAGCATGTTAGATTATATTCTCTATTAGCATTAGTTTATAATGTAGCCATCTACGAATGAGACTCTCATGATGAATAAAGGAGTTTAGAAACATAATATAAAAATGTTTGAATAGAGAAAAAATATCAACTGATTGTTCAACGTTGATACATTGGAAAATTGTATTACTAGACGACAATGTAAAATGTATGTGAACAAAAATTAGCGTAAAACTATTTTTTAAAATAAAAGAATGTTTCTTCAACACCGTCATAAGACATCATTTGTTATGGAAACAAAATGGGTACAATATTTGTAAACGCGTTTTTGTTCTCGATATTAAATTGATCTTCCATTGCACAAAGTTAGAATGTCCCGAAAGTTCAAGTTAGCACTGTACGTTTAATTATATCTAAAAAGAGGAGACTAAAAGAGCGAGAACCTATGACGCGCGGTTGTCATTAATATATGAGCAAACGATTTTATTTAATACTGATTAAGAATTGCCTTCCTACAAACGGCAAAAAAAAAAACTTCCATAATACGCAAACCTACAGCATCTCTTCAGCAAATTATCATACGTTGCCAAAGATTTCAATTTGAAAAGATAAGGTACAACTGGATCGACAGAGAAGAAGAGAAACATTTGAACCCCGCTCGAGCCCATCGGGCGGCCGGAGGCGATGCGATATTGTCCGCAAGTAGGCGAGTAGCAGCATGTACACTCCAATCCCTTCCAGGAATTCCCCAGTAACAACACCATGCACGTGCGGGCCGACAGTTTTTTTTTCTTTTTCGGGTGGTGATGGTGGTAGTGGCGCGGGTGGCTTCAGTCTTGTCGCGTGGGTGGGCGCGCGGGCGCTCTCACTCGCCACCGCCGCCGCCGCCGCCGCAGTTCGCCTCGTCGGCGCCGTCGGAGCAGTCCTGGCGGCGGTCGCACAGCTGCTGCAGCGTGATGCACCGCCCGTCCAGGCAGCGCAGCTCGCCCGCCGGGCACGGGGACGTGTGCGGCATGGCCGTCAGCCGCGGCGCTGTGCGCACACAATCGCTATTAGTATTCCCCAGGGCGACTCAGAATAAATGTTACAAACTTCTGGGGCGTATGTTCTGACCCATGGCTCGACCCGCTACGAGCCCTGGCCGACCAGCGGTGACCCAGCCTTTCGACCGTGGGATACAGGGTTCGCGTGGTTAGCACGAAGACATACCTTCACAATATATACTGGTCTTCTGTACCTTAGGGTAGTCTTTATCAACGTCACACAGCTATAGTTACAGGGATAAAGCACACAGTTATTATTTTCGCCGGGCGGAAATCGAACCCGGGATTGCGCCGTGAAAAGCGAGCACGCTAACCAATGAGCCACCCGAGAGGTCATTCTAGGCAATGGGGGGGGGGGGGGCAAAATTGAAAACTTTTTCTCAATGATGTGTGTGAGCGTGTGTCAGCAATGAACATCATAGATATTTTCGTCTATCTTTATGTAGGTAAGGAGTACCTGTTTCGACGTTTACAACTTTTATCATTTGAACATTTCTTAACTCTAACCTATAATTTAGCCTTTCAATGCATATCAAAAGGTAAAAAAAGTTTAATGGCATGCTTGAATTGAAAACACAAAAATATAGGTCACCGTGATTTATTTTATATATACAAAATATTGACAGTTCTAAAAGATAACTCTGTTCATAATTATGTTAATCATTCAAATAATTTTTCTTCCTTACATATTTAGCATTAACAAAATGCTGAGGGATGAATTAAATACTAAAACTAATTTAAAGCTAGTCAATAGCTCTATAAATATTAAAAGCTTTGGGTCAAATGTTGAAGGCAAAAGATCCAAAAAAAGAAATACAAAATACTCTATTCACGATTGATTAAAATGACTCTCCCAAAACCTATATAGGTCTGACCAAACGTAAACTCAAGATTACAATTTTAGAGCATCAACGCAATATATATGCACTGTCTCATCGTCATAACGTATTAACATCACTTAGATTGTCAACATATAATAAAATTAATTTTACAAACTCTAACATTTTAGTTATTAAAAATAAACAGTACTCTAGACTAGTGATAGAAACATTATTAATTAAAACTACAAATTGCCTCAATACTCAAGTTAAGTCCAACGGTTTTACTCGGTGAAATGATGGTCTTCTATCGAAATTTCGTAATTGACAATTAGTAAAGAATACTACACAAGACCATTTGACTGTTATTGTATTGTGTAAATCTTTTAAAAATTTCCCACCTATCTCATGTGTTAATGGTAAATTACTCCTCTACCCCTCCTTTCTTCTTGTTTCCTTCCCAAATGCTTCCCTTCCTTCCATCCCTAACTCATCCTTTCCTTCCCCTCCCTTACTGTTACGTAGCAGTTGTTTTCGTTTCTACACTACTCTTAGTGAATCTCAGTCTGATAACATCTTCAGACCAATTCTTTTCTTTTACCAGCACAATCATTGCGAGAATTCAGTTTCCTGTTTGATTTTTATACATGAAAAAAATTAATATGCTGAAGTGTACATTTTTAGCATGTGAATATATTTTAATTTTTTAGTATGTTTATACATCTTATTACAAGATAAGTTCTTTCAGCCATTAAGAGAGAGTATAATGGTATACGTTTTGAAATTAATTAATTTATAATTTTTTGATGTTAATAATTGCATAATTTAAAACTGTTGTAGTCTCACAGAGACCAACGTTGTATCTTTCCGAAATGCCAAATACATTCTTTTAGATCTGATATTGTTTTTTAAAGAAAGAAACAACACTGTGTCCTGGAATCAAGTGTTTTAAATCAAATCTGTCTTTAAACCTGATGGCCAATGTGTCTGGGAAAAAAAGACTTCAATTTGAGAACACGTTCAAAGGCTTTTCTACACCTCAAAACTTGATTTTTTTAGCACAAACTTGTATAAGTCATTGCTCCTTAAATATAAGTCATTCAAATGCATTTTTAAACATATGTAACATTCATTATAAGGAAGATATAAAAAATCTCAATTATTGACATTGTTTGGACCTGACCATTTTCTAAATATTTACTGTTTTCTGAATAATATGATACATCATGGTGAAGTAAACTCTTTTAAAGAATTTTTGTTATTTTCTTCCTTGTTTTGCATATACCAAAATGGCAGTTATTTTGATTACGAGTCTTTAATTAACTTTATATAGTTTGAACGAACTCATCTAGAAGGCTCTGGTTTTCACTAAATGCTTGAGAAAAGTTTTTCTTCAATGTTCATTGCACTACTAAACTTTATCTTCTATGGTTATTTAAACGTAAAACATATTTTGTTTATTTCTTACCATGATGAGGTGACTGGTTTCGTAGATACTTTGTCTCCGAAGCGTATTTCTTTAAATTTAAATTTTTGAACACATTTGTCGCATTATCTTTGACACTACGTGATAATTTTCCTTTTTGTACAAGGTCATTTAAGTAATAATAAATGTATAATAACAGAATGAGTACAGTATGTATAATACTTTGTACCAAAGTACAGAAAACATAATGTAAAAAAATCTGACTTTAACTTAAAATATACAGTAAAGTACAAAAAAATCAAAACAAGTAAATCTCAGCATATGTACTTAAAATATTTATACCAAGTTGCTCCTAAAATATTAGAGCACTAGGTTGAATAATTTCTGAGATAATGGGCCAATAGCCAAATTAACATTGAAGACAAAGGATTTTGACCCTCCTTAAATATATAATATTTTCCGTGAATTCAATTGACATTTATTCCGGATCCGACTCCTTCCCCCATTGGTGTTCTTTGGGTATCGGAAGGTCTTTGGCATGGACTTTTAACGAAGTTACAAACTATGTACCATTTCCCCCGATCGATAGGCAAACCATCGTGCGTTAGTGTTTGACAAGTCGTGTTCAAAACGAAAAGATTTCGTATGCCGGCCAAACACCAAAGCATTATATATTGCCTACCCATCAGGGGAACGGAACACACGCCTTTTCGTTAAATGACATTTCCTACCTCATGTCCATTCGAGAAAAAGGTATTTTAGACCCACCCATACGCCCTCGAAGTTTGTAACATATATAATGACACATTCTTTATAATATGGAAAGGGATGACGACGGTTTTGTACCATTCATACAGTGCCATTGATACAAAACCTCGAAGGTGTGCTTCTGCGGTAGAAATAATTACTCCTCAGGACTACATCAAACAGATTTAAGACTAACAATACAGACGCTCACAGGTTGTGAAGAGTAAAAACAGATACCTGTGCAACCCGCGGCATAACTGGAACTCACTTTGCGTCGTGAATCATTTGGAAACGTCACGCCTTAGAGCTTTTAAACGTAGATCTGGAACCCGAAGTACTGTATGTTTCTTTTCCCGTAATCTTCGAAGTGAAACTCTTTTAGACGTTTCGTCAAATTTCTTCGAGGTTTAGCTCTTCTGGACACTCTCGCCCTTAAATATAGGAAGCCAGAGACGAGTCTTGTTTCAAAATCTATGTTAAGTTTGATTGACTACAGGGAAGTCGGTGCAATTTAATCCGAAACCTTAGCAGTATTAGAATGTTTACTCATGTATAATAAGTAATCCAGGCCTAAGCATGAGGTTTGCGTACAGATGAGAGGCTACGGCCTTTCAAAATTGAATGTAGTGTGCTGCTGTTTTCACTTTTAAATCAATTATTCACATGGATGCGGAATTTTAAAACTGGTCCAACCAGATAATGATATTTTATTTCTGTAGTGCAAAAACGTTTTACCGCATCTACAACGAAGTTCAGTAATGAATGAAATTTAACACTTTACATTTCCATGAACTTTCAATCAGAAACTTAATTTACATTCATTGTAAATAAGTATTCTTAATATGTAATATATTTTCTATTGTTGAATGTAATACAAATTGTTAAATGTTACTTTGATATATTAATACACATAACTTGAATGCTTGCATTCAAGACACACCATGAGATGAAATGCGATTTTGTACGTGTTCCACGCACGACCTAAAATTTCCCTTCCCAAGAAAATGTCCTCCTTCCTCCAAATTTGATGTGAACAGCTTCCGATGTTATTGCTACAGGGGAGATGGATTACCTTCAATTTTGTTTTCATTTCGTAGACTAAAAGGCTCTCTGGTCAGAATTGATATCAGTGGACTTACATTTTATTAAATAAATTTGTAAATTGTATATTGTGAAATAAAATGAAGACTCTCTCAAATATAATAATTTTCCCTGATAATAATAATAATAATAATAATAATAATAATAATAATAATAATAATAATAATAATAATAATACAGTTGGAATGAGCAGCAAAGCAATGCTCGTCGATGCACCTTGACGGAAGACGCTCTGAAGAACGTCGATTTGGCCCTTGAAAATGTTTCATGTTCCTTCATCGGAACCGAGAGAAAGGTTAATCTATTTGACAAATAACACAGACGTAAATCGTCCTCTTTTTGTTTCCAAAATGTGAAATGATGTCGGGCGAATGCTTTGTAAACAAAATGACTATCTGCAAGCGTAGGCTTCCGCGGCCGGAGGCAGTATCTACTTGGCAGTCCGGGATGCGTCACCGCTTCCTAGGCGCAGATGCCAAAGTTTCAACCGTCATGCTACGACCTTCCTCCGGGCGCGATGCGTCGCATTTTGCCCTGAGGAAGGTCGCATTAGCACCTGTACCTATGGTACGGCGTCTCCCGGACAGCCAAGTGGGTACGAAATAACTATCTAAAAGTAGTATAAAATGTACAACATTATACCAAAAGTACTAAAAATGGAAGGAGAAATGAACATTTTAACTTTTGGATATTTATGTTATGTTTAATTTGTAATTTAATTAATATGCAAAGATTGTTTTATTATATATTTATAATATTTCAATTTCAGAATTGTTATTTCCTTTGCATGCGAAGCGAACCATCAGTGTTCTGTGATCTTGTGAGTCAGTTTTATCTCTTCATGAACATATTTTTTAAAGTACACTATAAATATAAATCTTACTTATCAAAATAATTTGATTGATTCATTCATTAAATGAATTTAACCACCCGTACGTCATAAGACGTCTGTACATATTAAGAAAATTAGTTTCGTTTGAACTCATTGTCAGTATAGTCAGTATCAGTGTCTACTTCAGAATATAGAACTGTTCTGATTACGACATGCCCTTTTTCATTGTAAATGCGGAACAGGAAATGGCTCATACCGAAGCGGCTATCCAAGGACAGGCCTCCGACTACAGGAGCCAGCCCGTTGAAGGAAACGCGACCGGCCGTCGAAGTTACAATATAGTGGTTATCAATGCCATGTACTCGGAGAAGGAACAAGGTATTATAATTGAAGGCAAATCCCACAGCACACCTCTCGAAAGGTACGTAGAAGCTTTAGCAATGATTGTTCCAACTAGCCACATCACGTATGAATCAAAAATTTCAAATAATAGGGTGTATGTACTTTTGAAAAGTAAGCAGTTAGTAGACGAAATTACAGAAAAGTTCAATACTATTAATATTGAGGGCTCATCCCCAAATATTCGTTCTCTTGCAAGTAGACAGAAGCATATTGAAATTTCAAATGTTTATCCTCTGATTCCTAACGCAGTAATTGAAGAGGAACTAGACAAACTAAAAGTGATACGCAGATGACAAGTGTAATTTCTCATAGCTGGTTTCGGTAAAACGCAGTTCACTCATATCTTAAGTTTCCATAAACAGGTGTTCGTACCGAAAGACTCATTAAATAAGGTACCTGAAGCCATACTGATCACATACAAAGGAGAAAGAAACTGGATTTACATTATAGTGGAATTATTAAATGCTTTCGCTGCAACGAAGAAAGGCACATTGCGAAAAACTGGAAAAATATAGGAATGATTGAAAACAATGTAGCCCCTGACAACGAACAAAAGAGACCTAGCTTCTACAAAGGCACCTAGTTACCACGAATTTCCCCCACATCACCAAGACAAGCCTGTTAAGAGAGCCTTATCACAAGCACTACCAGAAACAATTCAAGTGAACTTCAGGAAGGACTATTCAACCGTCCCCAAGGAAGAATTATCGGTGCGGTAAAACAAATTAAGAAAAAGAAAATGATGGTCCTCAGGGAGAACACCATTAGTAGCGGCAGTAATAAAAAAAGCATAGTGGAGCAGATTTCTAATAGTAGAACTCAAATTGACCCTATCGGCTATTGCAAATGTCGTTTACTCAGGAAATCCGTTAGCCTTAGACTTTGTTAGAATGATATGGTATTCGAAATTAAAGAGATAGCTTTTGGATGGATCCCGGCTCATATGGGTATCATCGAGAATGAGCTGGCAAACGTCTGCAAAAGAGGTGTCACAACTTGATGAAAGAAGCAAGCTTCCTATAACACCACAGGACTATGATGCATCAAGAGAAAACTACAACAATTAAACAGACAGGAATGGAACAACAACGCTCGCTGCAAATTAAGATGTATATGCGTGTACGAGAATTATTATCCAGCCACATCCTTCAGCAGAGCTGACCAGTATTAAGCACCTGAAGCTCACACATGCCCATCTGATCGCCGGGAAAACGGTTGTTATGTGTAATGTGTGTAATGTTTCTACGTACATTAATAATTTATTTCTGTGACCCAGGTTTGAGTCTAACCGGACGAGACATGGTGTCAATAACATGACAAAAGTAATAAAAGACAAAGAACAAACCAATCGGTTTCTCAATTTTTTGAAGGGCTTAAAGTTGTACAATTATATATAAGAAAAATGTATAAACTGGTTACTATTGTGATATGAATGCTCCCTCCCAAAGTGTCATAACATTCCAGGTACAAAAATAATGTTATTGTGTATATGTCGCTAATAACCGATTGTAGTTGATGCAATATAATAAATACATTTAAAAAAATAATATAAAAAATTGTAGTATTAAACGTGACTTGCAATTAAACGATTGAAAATTGTAAATAAAATTTCAAATCTTTGGAGAGATATTTGTCGATTCGAATATTCATTTGTGGCCTAATTTCGTTAACTATGAACGTAACGAAAATAGTGAAATTAAATAAATCATTGTATATATTAGAGTATATAAATTATATATAAATACATTAAATAAATCGATTAAAATCGCGCTTTCTACAAATATTTCTAATTGACAATAATTTGTAAGCACTTCTGGCATGCAAGTGATTGAAATTACTTGGTCATCAAATTATATCTTGATATTTTATTTGTATTTACTTTTGTATTTACATCAAGACAACTAATTATAAGAATAAAATATATTTAAGAAGGCTATATTATTAGGTATTTTAAACAAGGAATATTTAAAAAGTAAATAAGTAAATAAGCATATATAAGTACTGATGGTTCGCTTCAGCAAATTAGCAATATGGTCTTCCAATATTAAGATACAGTTACTTTTGAAAATATTTCGCTCATTTCATGCTGAGAATATACATGCTCGTAATACGTTGAAATATTTTAACTTTCAGTCCGACAGTTCATCCATTCTGACACCGAAGACATCGCCCAAGATTTCCCATGGTGTTTTCAGAATCAAAAAAGAATTTAAAGACAATTAAATCGTCGATTTAAAAGCGTTCTGAAAGAGAAAAGATTCATATAGAAACATACCCATTTCTGTGAGCTGATACAAGGTTTCCTTGATGTACATATGGAAATATACTTTATATAATAATTTAAGTAAGGGATTTCTGTTATACCAAAGTTAAAGCGAAATATTTAGAGACTTTGGAAAGGGATGTAAGAAAAATGATCTCATATATTTGAAATTGTTGATCAAAGTTTATATTAATAGTACGAGAAATTCGAAATATTCTTCGTAAGACAAATGGAAAACGCTAAAATAATTATTATTATTATTATTATTTCAAAACTGTGACGCTATTTTTCGACTTCTACTGCAATGATCGTGGCCTTAAGTGCAAAAACTGCTTCCCTTGACTCCTTCTACCTGCCTTTTATATTTTTTTTGTAACTCACAATTTGAAGTGGGTTTCTATAGTTCCTGAAAATAATGATTTTTCCACAAATCGTTTAAGAGCAGCTACTGTAATGTTTACAAATGCATTCTCCAGTATTCAAATTAAAAATTGACCGTTTTCAAGGGATTGATATTGAGTTCGTGATGTTTCACTTGATTGCTGGTATATAGTCTATGTAATTTCATTATTGCAATGAATATGTAACTCTAATTACATACAAATGCAGATCTACAGTTTCATAGACTGATATTGGCTATTAAATGTAAATAATTTACAATAAAATTTTATTGCGTTAACTTTAGAATTAATTAATTTCGTAATTGAACAATATGGCAGGAATGTTATTACTTTATTCATTAATCATTACGTAATCTTGGATCAGCCCACAGAGTAGTTGGATGCAGATTGAGCCACCTACAGACGAGGACACGAGCGTCAGGGAAGGAAGAGGAGTTGTCTACCAGCCAGTTTGTAAATACCTTTCTCCGCTCGGATGGGTGTGCTAGGTTTGTTTGGGATGGCTACTACGCTTTATTTTCTCCTGCAAAGGATAAGGGCAACACAGGAATAAGCAATTAGTGACATTAATTGGCAATCGCGTAGCGCAGTGGAAACACTGGCATATCAAAAATTTGAACAGATTGTTAATAATTAGTAATGTGCACGTGTTATCTGATCAATCAATAAATATTGAAATTTTTGTAACCGAATTTCACTAAGTGATGAGACATGTCAGCCATTATTTGCAGATAAAAATGCCTTCAGAACATAACAAATGTAAGTGACACACCTTGTTGAGACATCTCAAGAACTATTGCTGGAGACTTTATCAAGATCATACAACTGTAACGAAAATAATGAATTTGTTTTAATTACTTTTCTTGCTACTCGTCCGCAGAACAGTCATTTGGTGACCAACTATAACCGGTTTTTGATCAGAAATAAGTCCAAACTGTTTGTAATAAATGTCGCGTGCTCTAAAATTTGCAAAAGCACGAGTAGTAGAATACCTGTGTGAATGACGGTGCAGTGATCCTCGTCCGAGTTGTCAGCGCAGTCGTTCACTCCGTTGCAGCGCCACTGGGCGGGGATGCACTGGCCCGTCTTCCGGCATTGGAAGTCCCCGGCGTGGCAATCTGCAACAGACACAGCCGTTCTCTTCCCTTTCATATCTGTCTTTTGCCACCTTGTCAGTCACGTGGTAACAAATAAGGGAAAGAAATGGTGTAGTTTTAGCATTTGGTTCCTATATGTTTTTGGACGTCGCTGAATACAAATATTACGTTTCGCAACAATAACTTTGCTTGGAAATATGCTGTTAAGCGAAACGTATGTAAAAAATTCCGATTTCTTTAAAATTTATATTAAATTACTCAAAAAACAATAATTTGTTTTTGTAAATGATGGCTCTAAAATAAATAAAAACAGATGAGATTTGTATGTATGTACTTGGCGCGACGGCCCGTGAACGGGCTCAGGCCTACCGGCGACGACCCTGCCTCACGACCATGGGTTAGGGGGGTACGTGTGATTAGCACGTAGACATTCCAATGCCGCATTCCGTTCTTCTCAACCTGAGAAATGAATTTTCTCACCACCACACAGCAGCATATACAGGGACATTGCAAGGAAAACGCATAGTAGATTCTTGGCTCAACCGGCAATCGAACCCTAGGCCGCATAGTGGAAAAGATAAAATTACCTAGATTAAATTCCTAACGTTTTTCTCCCGTGGACTATTTATCTGTGAGAGCACCGTGAAATTTGAAGCAACAAGCAATAAACATGAAAAATTGGGGATTATCCTACGTCAATATCATGTAAAAATAATCGTAAATGTTGACCCAACATGAAATGGAAAAGAATAAAATTTCCTTTATTTTATGCATCTGAGTTATTTTTTAAGATCAATGGATTCTCTGCTAGTGTGCAAAACGCTGTTTTGAAGAGTGAAATGCAACAGAAGATTTTTCTGTTTACGAACCTGATGTATAGGCGGTATTCCTATTGTCTTTTCCAAAACTTCAGGTTAAAATCCAAAACTTTTATCCGCGCGGGAGGAATTGCATTGTCACGCGCCAAAAGTCCAAAACCGAAATACTGAGAGAAAAGTACACTATTACACTTACTTGCGCGGCGCTGCCGTTGCTAAGCGGTTTATTGGAGACAAAAAAACAACGTAAAACCATAAAATGTTGAGAAATTTAATTTTTTCATTTCATATCAGGTCAACAAACATTAACAATTTTGAGATAAATAGGATAAGTTTTTTGGCGTTGAACACCAAATTTCACGGTTCTCTGTCGCTAATAACCGATTGTAGTTGATGCAATATAATAATTTTTTTAAAAATAATATAAAAAATTGTCAGTATCGAACGTTGCCCACAATTAAACGATTGAAAATTGTACATAAAATTTCAAATCTTTGGAGAGATATTTATCGTTTCGAATATTCATTTATGGCCTAATTTCGTGTGGCCTAACTGTTGGTTGCAAAATAGTGTAGTCATTAAATGTCAGAAATTGAATCCCGGAACCCGGAGTTACTCTAAGGTTCGACCTTGTGGCCGAGTAATGCCCGTTCTCGCAAAAAAGCCAATGGTTGGGGCTGGCCGAGGGCTGCGAAGGCTGTGTACTCACGCAGGCCGGTGCAGTTGCGCTCGTCCGAGGCGTCGGGGCAGTGCGTGAGGCCGTCGCACAGCCAGCGCTCGGGCACGCACGCCGACTGGTCGCTGCACTGGAAGTGGCCCGGCGCGCACCCTGCGCACACAACACGCGTCTCTCTTACACGAACTTTTTACGCGCCGTTCTAACACCCTGTTCTTAATGCGTTGCCACGCTCCAGAAGACACAAGACCGCGAATTGAGTGAGAATGAAGATAATCTTGGGGAAATATCCTTTTACGATTTTCTTCATTTTATTTTCTTGATTTGAACCTTTTAAATGTAAAGCAAAGCAAAACTCCAAAATATGGATTGTGCCCGTACAGGGAAAAAATAATTTAGGGCCTGTGTCGTTGCACTCTCCAAGGAGGCGGTCCCTGGAGTCTGTCCGTCCTATTCGATGAATGCCCTAGCTTCATACGAACGAAATCTTATTTAATGACGTATTAGTATGGGGCAAACAAGGGACAAATGGTAGCCATGGTAGCAATGACAATAAATATATAGAAGACTGGAAATATTCACTAATATTTAAAGGTGAATTAGAACTCTTGTGCTACTGAATGGCTCGTTAGCGTTTATTAACGCCTCTTTCCCGTCGTGCATGAAGATTACATACAAGCTTTTCTCGTTTCTGAGATATTTTACTACTGAAATCTAACACCTTTCGTTTGAGAATTTGGTTGTGTATTCGGACTATTGATCGTGTGTTTGAAAGCTGGATGTAGTGACACAATAATTAGATAATTGAAAGTACAACGTGATACACTTAAATACGTTTTTGCTGAGGTGCATTATTTAAGCTTCAAGTTCTTTCATATGCCCCAAATATACGACACACATCTACGCAAGTATCCTTACTCTAAGTTACCACTGAGATCAGCCCTTGATTCAGATAGTTTCTGATAGACACGAGGAAAAATTTGTTTTTACCAAATAATGCCAACGCCAACCGTTTCTGACTGTCGTTCACAATTCAACTATATATGGCAAAAGAGCAGGGATCAGTTTTAGTTAAATGAAGAAATTATTTTTGAAAATAATAAATGTTTACGTTTTAAAAACATAAAAAGATGTATTACAATCCAACCAGTATAAACTCTAAATGGCGATAAATAAGTTATACATTTTATTAGCCAGTTTGAATTTAACTAAAAAAAACCCTTTTTCTAAATACTGTTCTGTATTGCTGTTACCCTTGTACAAGCCCTAAACATTTTTGTAGGCCCTCTCTATTGTTTTTAGCGGCGAAGTAACGTCTCTGCTCCGCTGGGAGCGCGTGGCGCCATTGTGCTGACCTTGGCGCGCGGGGCAGCCCAACTCGTCGGAGGCGTCCGCGCAGTCGCGCTGCCCATCGCAGCGCCATCGCGCCGGCACGCACTTGCGGTCCGCCTCGCACCTGCAACCGACAAAACCCCCACAACGCCCTTCGCAGCGACGGACTGCCGCAAATTCCAATTACACAATACTACATTATGAAACAAGGATGTAATGATGCGAGTTAAACTTCACACGAATGCATTAATACGCATTACATCGCGTTTCATACGGTACTGGCCCATAAAACTTGCACAGATTTTTTTTACGATGCCAATAAGTAAAATCAGGGTTGTCTCTTGTTTTATATGAGATTGAAAGCTATTCTTGAAACCTGCAACGCAATTGTCAAAATCTGTTAACGTGGGTATCTTAATTTGACCGCTTAACTACAATTTTACAACCTATTTAGTAGTATATGCCGTCCAAATATGAATGCAAGTATGAAAGTTCAAAAGAAAGTATAAATACAATTCTTGAAAAGCATAAAACGGTTATTACGGTTATTTTTAATTAAATCTCTCGATATAATGAAATGTAACTATTTCACATTCTATAATTGGTAGGTAGCAACATACCAGGAGAATCTATTGAGCTACCACATAATCCAAATTTATGAACCCATAATTATCTTCTATTAGAACGGCTGATTTCCAATAGACTTGCGGATATTAAAAGGCAAGAGATCTGGGCAGCAACGGCTGAAAAACGTTCGCTAGTAGCTCCAATTCATGCGAGTCCGTTATGGGGTTGCGAAGGTTACGTTCATACTCTCGGAAACGACGCAAGAGGGGGATACGCTTGGTTCAGGGTTGGGGGATGGATGCAGCGTAGACTAAAAGACGCAAGTGGTAATGGCATCTGTGTGCTTTGCGGTGATAGGGAAGACTGGATCCACATCCTCTTAATTTGCTGTGCAACCAAATTATGGAGAAAAAAAATGGATGGGAATGGGAAATTACTACTTTCTAAACAGGAACGTAACGCTCGCCCAAAACATTTTAGGTGATAAAAGGTCTAAATTCATAAAATAATTAGGAACATATTTAGGAAAGGTTCGGACCATTAGGGAAACTGAAATTAGGGAGTGGGAAAACAGCACCGGTTAGCTTGAGCGGAGCCTAGACTGGAGAGAAATAAATAAGTCAATAAGCTAACAATATGTAAGTTAATCAGTAGTTTTATGTTAAGTAAGTAAACAGCTAAGAAATAAGTCATAAGTCATAGTTAATTGGTAAGTAAAATGTTAATATAATAAATTAAATAAAACTGGCATAGTAATAAGCACATTAGGGGGGGGGGAAGGTAAGGGGGGATCGAAAATATAAGGGCAGAGGCGTTGGTGCGGACGATCTTCTGTGGCGCTGTTTGATTTCAGGTGCTGAGGAGGCCAAGCACTGGAAGGAGACGGCGGGACGCCCGCGCCAGAAAATAATATAGCTAAAATAAACGTCGGATAGATTAGAATGTACTCGGCTTCTGACGGCAGGTTTTTCCCCCTTCAGGGGTTTTTTCCTGAGCCGTACCTTATGGTCTCTTTTCCGCGGCTTTGATGCGATGGAGAGACCATTTGGGGTGAATACCAGAATTCGAAAGATTAGAACGCGAAAGGATGTAGGTATTGTAATGGCTTAAAGGCCTTCGGCCTAGCCACATAGGATCAAGTAAGCTAATTTGTCTGTAATAATTACCTATTTAATAAATAAAATAATATTTTCTATTAATCGAATGTGTAAGTTAGGGGATCGTACGCATGTTACCCCTCTTGTAATGAAATCTATTACCTATCATAGAAAAGACAATACACTCGTGAAGTAGCATACTTCAAACGAAAAAGTCGTAAACCAAACTACGTAAAATCTTACGTAGGTATTAATTTGTTCAAAGTTTTTAACAAACACTGTGGTTTATTCCATTGTGAGAGAAGTATACGTATTTTCCTTTCTGTGATGCAATTTCGTATTTACGCAGGTCTGCGCGTGTTGACAAAAGGAATTCCAGAGTCAACAACCACATTACAGCGCTCGTTATATGCAATTTTGGAATCTTCCGTTGTATGAAGAACCGGGCGCCAAATTATCATAATTACTGTGTAAACATTGACCATATGTATGCTTCTGAAGGAACTGTCTACTGTCTTCCTACGGAGAGACAGAAGACAGTCAAGCCGAGGAACTACTCCACGTTCTGAACATTTCTTATCTGCCTTTTGTGACTACTATATAAATAATAGTACGATTGCACATGAACTACGAAAAGTTATTTTCAATTTATCAAATTTTCATGAATTTAGGGGCATTTAGAAAGCTCGTAATAAATAAATGCCATCGTAAATATGATTCTGATGTATTACTAGAGCTATTTATTTGTGTAATGCAAAAGTAAGTATAACATTTGAATTTTAAACTTAATGACACCAAGAAACGTAAAGTCACAGTTACAACATAAAACATTGTAAGTTTTCGTAAGAAACAGAGACAGAAAACAATAGTAAATTAAATGAAATTTCTATACTTGATACTAAATAATATAATACATTCTAATTCTTGCAAAAAATAAATTTGTTACTCATTTAATACTTTCAAGTACTATCTACTTTGCGACTTTTCTGTTGACTGCAATCTCATCCTCAAAACCAGCTGTAACTTCACTGCTAATGTAATGGATCTACATTGTATATCATATCGGTCAACGATGCAAACGAGCCGAGCCCTTGGCAGGTGATGACGACAGGGGATGGACGATGGTTGAAGGACGACGGGTGATGTACGACGGGAGATGGACGACGGGAGATGGACGTCGGGTGATGGACGATGGGTGATGACGACGGGTGATGACGACGGGTGATGACGAAGGGGGATGACGACGGGTGATGACGACGGGTGATGACGACGGGTGATGACGACGGGTGATGACGACGGGTGATGACGACGGGTAATGACGACGGGAGATGGACGACGGGTAATGGACGACGGTTGAAGGACGACAGTTAAGGACGACGGCTGATCGGCGACAGGCGACCGGCGCTGGGTGATGAGCGGCGGGTGACGGGTACTGAGCGACGCGTACAGAGTGCGTGGGGGGTGCTCACCTGAACTCGTCGGGGTTGCAGGAGGCGCAGTTGCGCTCGTCAGCGCCGCCCGCGCAGTCGCGCACGCCGTCGCAGCGCCAGCGGCCGGGCACGCACGTGCCGTCGGGGCACCAGAACTCCCCGCGCAGGCAGCTGTCCCCTGCAACAGCGCCCTCTCATCGCTCAACAGCCCTACTCGGGTGGGGGGATTACTGCGTCTTCTAAGCCTATGTTCCGCGAGGAAAAATCCACGACGTGCCTATTTGCGCTTTCGGCGTATTAAAGAACCTTCACAGGAGCCTTCAACAAACCCAAAGTGACAAAAACAGTCGTTGATGACGTATTGATCTTGGACACTGAACTGCTCGTTTGTTATTGGTTTGAATGTCCTACAGAGATGGAATTTGTTTTTCCCTAAAATCATTGGTGAATAAGTACAATAAATAATCCTAGGAAAACAATAAATACAACTCGTATTCGCAGGTTAACACCCCCCCCCCCGCTTTGGCCTTCTATTAGGAACGGCAATGCCTTGGACAAGAGCTCTTGGACTTACAGGAATGAATTTTTCTACATTCGTAATGCACAGATCATTTCAGTAAGTGGGTTGCCTTCTGTGGACGTTTTGATTTGACAGTTGCGAAGTCGATACTAATAGCTCTGAAAATCTCAATTCTTCACTTCACAGAAGTCCGGCAAAATTATGCCTCTCGAGAATAATCCTGTTCACTGGGATCTCAGTGCGAGGTATGCTTGCTCGAAACATCCTGTAGACTCACGCCGGGGAATGCAAAAAAAATCGAAATCAGAGTCGAAAATAGGTGTGGAACGTGGCTGAATAGCCATCTCCCTGCGCAAAAACCACACGCATAATTGGGTCCACCTACGGACAATTATATGGCCACGAACTATCAGAGTATGACACGACAGACATCTCTAATCAGAGATGCTCTAGCGTGCAACAATGAAACTGTAATTAATATCAAAAATTAATTTTTCAAAACAATATTTCTAAAATCTTTAATTTTAGTTAATTTTAAGTTAATACAATATTAGGAACTGTCTGAAATCTTTAACACTAACTGGCAATTTTTACACAGAAATCATCTCCTGTTCAATAGCATTTTTTTTTAAAACAAAATGTCGGGTTCCGTTTTGGCCTCTTTTGGAATGATTAAGTGATAATTGCATGAATAAATCTAGAACAAGAAAAGCCATGCCGATCCTGTGGCCGAGATCGCTAAGGCAGTAGCGATCTCAGGCCGAAGGATAGCGAGTTCGAGACCCGCCTCGGACATGGTTGTATTGTGTTCGTCCTTCCACCCCCTTTCATCATCATATCGTGTCATTATCATAGTTACCATATCATTACACGCAATAGTGGTCGCTAATGAGCTAGAAATTGATGCGACCTTAAAAGAAATCTATATTTCAGAAAACTGTTTATTATCAAGCATAATTTAATTCGTACTGATATATAAACACAGTTTTAGTTCAATTGTAAATTAGTAACAAAATATTATTCTCAATGAAAAGACTGTACACGTGTAAAAACTAAATTGAAAACTATGAAGAATATGTATGACTGATTTCATTAGCAAAGATAAACCAAATGAGTTGATTTGAATGAATAATAACAGATTTGAAATTAGTTGATAAACACCTGAACGTGTTAACAAAAATTGTTGAAGACAAATTGCAGAAGTGTTCTTCTATACAACTCATGGAAATTAGGTTACTATACTAGATATAAAATAATTGTAATAGTCTTAATTCATGCATAAAAGTTTCAGGACTAATCATGTTTGTATGGAGACTTCTCACTTTTTTCTAGTTTACCTTAAAATGGTTATTACGTAAATAAACTAATAAAAAAATATTGCAAATGTTCATTATTTTGTAGTCTTTGTTCATCAACGCCATAGAGATCATGTACATTTTTGTCTTGATGTGTTGTCTGTGTATAAATAATTGAGGCAGTGACTTGATATCCACGGACAGACTTGACGATAAGTAAAGAAAGCAGATTTAATTACTTAGTGAAACGTTTTTAAAGACGATTTAAACCTGACGTCAAAATCGAGTTTGAATGGAGCGGTGTGTTACGAGAGGTTCCCTGTTCGCTCCAGAGATGGCGCGCGCATGCTTGTCATTCAAGGCTTGAATTCATTTACATCCTATGCATTAATTTGTTGCACTCCAAGAGAAAGAGAGAGGAAAAGTAATTTCACATAAGGTGTCATTCGAAAAATGTGTACATGCTACTGGAGGAAAGAGAAGGAAATGCGACTTTTGTTACGAAATTGTACCTTGGGGAGGAGGGAAGTTATTGGCGGAGAGGTATAGTGTAAGAACAAGAGTCAAATTACGGTACAATTGATATGAAGAATGAAGATGAACGAGATGAAAAGGAAGCTTGTCAATTTTTCAATAGTCAATTGTAGGCTAACAAGTCAATCAGATGAGGTTTGTCTTCAGAAATAAATGTTATCAAAACGGCAAAACAGTGCTAATGTTTAATCATAGTGAAAATGGATTATCATTAAGTGCAAATCTTCGATCCAACGAGGATCCGAGCCCAGCACTTTCTATTATCCAGGCAGATGCATCTTATATGTGAAATACAACCTCAAAATTAATACACACTAAGAAAAAAATGGTATTATTAGATGTCTTGTAGGATCGTAGAAAACAATTATGTTTTTTGTTGTTTAAGGTCGCATCAACTTCTAGGTCATTAGCACCACTATTGCTTGAAACGGTATGGTTATAGTGAGGATGATACGATATGATGATGAAAGGGGGTGAAAGGACGAACACAATACAACCATGCCCGAGGCGGGACTCGAACCCGCGATCCTTCGGTCCGAGGTCGGTACAGCAATACTGCCTTAGCGATCTCGGTCACCGGAACGGCAAAAGCAATTATTTACATTTCGTGATCGTAATGATTGTTTCAGGACGATCTTCGTTGGCTCAGTCTTGATCATACCCACAATAATCATTCCCGTAGTTAATACAAAAATAACCGTTTTGCGTAGTTCTTGGTGTGTGCTGCAAATGAAGTTGTGTTCTGGGCACTGGGTCAGGCCCATTGTCGAGCCACTTGTCGGGTCTCTCCGTCCTCGTCGCCGACGACCGCCCTTCGCCGTTTCAATTCGCTCTCGAGTGCCAAGGTCAGCGCAGGACAGTCTGCGCCGCACTCCGCTCCTTGCATCGCGAGATGAATCTTGACCTCCATCTAAATCGAGGCCTGGCACTTTAAATTTTTAAAGATTCGGTTCCCGACTGACACATGTTGATACGCGCGAATGTCTTCGTAATATTGGAAACAACACAGTGATGATGGGATAAACGTTTAAATGCGTGTCTCCGATTCCTAATTCTTCCTTAGAAATTTCCTTTCCTTAATTATCGTTAGGGGCCATTAAAATAATACGTTCGTGTTACGGATGAAGGGGGGTCCCTGTAACTGCGTAGAAAACGAACGAGTGGGAAAACGAATGAAAAATGCACTTTCTTGAAAGGTTAGGTCTGTATTAACATGTGTTAACTGCTCATAAACGTTGATAAGGAATTCAAATGCTCTCTATTATATGAATGAGTAAAAACCAGAATGGTTTAAGTGACATTTGTATGAGTGGAATTCTGTGGAATCTGTTTATTTAAGTAATTATCACTGTAAAGCCTTGGTTCTTTGTTTTATGATTAAAACCACGGCATTTCAATTGTTCATTAAAATCTCGAAAATATATTGCCACTAACATATAGCGTAAAATTTACATGTTTTTCTCAGAATTCATATTTGTAAAATATCAATTATACTGTGTTGTTTTTCACCATTCATATTTTGTCTATAGTAATTGTAAACGTTTCTGTGTTACTACCACTCCTCCGTACGTTGATGATTTGTATGCAGATTCAAAAATAGTTGTAAATTAAAGATCATGAAATTCAAAAATAATTTAATACTACGTTTTGAATTTCTTTGAAAACTGCCCAATTTCATAGTTCATATTGGATACGTCAACATCTAAAAGAAAGGGGGGGGGTCACAATGAAACATTCATTTCAGGGAGGGCGGCCTTGTAAGTATTGCGATTGTTTCTAAGGGTTGAGAGCGGTAAAGAAAATTAAGTTTGCAAACGTATTTTTAATAAACCTTCTACATTAGAATGCCCAATCATTAAAAAAATACTCTTCGTAGTCATCAGCGAGATAAAATATTCGTGAGGATCCTTGAGATAGATTATTTATAATCATTATTGCAAGGCGAAAATCTGGGTTCACGATCTTCATGTTCTCGATAATAATGGCAGTCAATTGTACGTAAATGAAAAACAAAACCATCAGACACACAAAAGATGCAGTACCCTCCCCCCTTCATGTTTTAGAATTGCGCGAATGTTTGTGTTCTTAATGCAGACATCACTTCAAAGCATATGGCAGATCTCAGACAGTGTAGTTGAGTTAACGCTCTGAGTGACGTAGAGCACATCTCTGGCGACGTTATCGCCCGGGCTGACAGCGCTTACCTCTGGCAAAGTTGACGCACTGCGTGGCGTCCTCGAGGTCGGGGTAGCGCTCGCACTGGAACACGCGGGAGAGGTCGAGTGTGGCCAAGATGAAGTCACTGCAGTCCTCCGCCACCGCTGTGGACACGCACAAACATGCCCGTCAGCAGGAACAGCAACATCGTGGAGAATCTTTGAATGTTTTAGGACAATAATTTGGTTGAAAATGTACAATAAAAATTTAACCTCTTTTCGTGTATTTTCTTTCATCGGCGGCTCTAAGGATAATATCACTCCCAGTTCTTAAAATTTTCAGATGAACACATTTAAAAACATATTGGAAGACAAACTAAATTCAATTCTTGGCAAAGACATTATTAGAGGAAATCCAAAGAATTCCATACAGACCCATTATATAATAAGCAGATATCAATAAATGAAACAAAGAAGAAATATTTGATTGACATGTGTAAATTCATCCCTCTAGGAATTAAGCGGTTTATGAATATATAAATATATGACCAACAATTATCGTCTATTCTCTATCGTGCTCCAATTTTTTGGTGTTAAAATTTTGGAACATGTATGCTAGTGTCAGAAAGAGTCATTTTTACATTACACAAACATAATAACCGTAACCAATTTAAAGTTTACTAAGGTTCACTTGTTGATTACTGACATCAAGAATAATCTCCGGATGAAAAAAAACTGTATATGAATAAAACATTCTAGGTTTTAAATAATGCTGCAAATGGCTAGAAATGTTTTAGATATTGGTCTAAGTAAATATTTTAGTCAGATTTCTCTCATGATGGGATTGATGAAAAGTATGGTTAATAGCGTCACTTCTGATTGATTCTGTTCGCTGACTACCTTGGAGGAAATAGTGTTCTTCGTCTCTCCCTTTCACAAAGGTGATTCATCTGCATTATTATTTCAAGTAGATCCGTTCAGTCTTGATAATAGTTTATTATTAGAGAAACACACGAAAATAAAAATTTGAAACAGTATTATGAAATTCTAAGTATTCCTTTTTAATTGTTTACTATTATTTAATGTGAGGTATCTATACAACTAATTTCCTCTACGCGCATAAAACTGAACGAAAACTTTGCAGCTTCCTCCCAAGTGAGAGTGGTGTCTACAGTTTTGTTAGATGCCCGGTGATTCGGGAAAAATATACAAACAATTAAATTTAGATTTTGACTGAAAAATCCAAATATTGGATTGTTTTCATCTGCCTACACTCTTAGTGGGCGTACTGACCGAATTCTCATAATTCGTGGGTGACTGCTTACGACAAAGTTGATGTTATGCTTCATCAAAACGCTTAGGAAGAGGCCGCCTCTTATTAAATTTTTGGTTTTTACCTGTTTAGTTATAGAAAAGCACCTTTTGTGGTATTCTTGGTACATACAAAAGCGGTGTACGCATATATAGCACACTACGATTTTGCAGTAGGCGTGAATGTTGATTTGTTACAATATTTAATTTATTGCATTCATATAAGATAATATTTCATTTGTTTATCTTGAACTTGACTTTATAGAAAACTATTTTGTGTGGTTTTGTTCAGCAGCATGTATGCTGCCGGAGGCCACTAATTATTAACTGAGGTTTAAGAATTGGTAAGTTCGAAAATAAAAAGGAAACGACAGTTTTAGTTGCCGAGGCTGGTAGGTAATTCTTGATGATAAAGGAAACAAAATGTGGGTCAAGAACGGTATGACAATGTTATCTGCTGGTGACTGTAGTACCTCCGCTTGCAACTGTCGTGTTATGCAAAATGTATATCAGCGTAACTGCTACCGGGAACAGAAATAATCAGTAGTTCGCGCACTCATTTTTCCTATAGCGAAGGCGCTGTGAAAATTAAGTTTGCACCAGGGCATATGATGAAAACTGACTGACTTATGAATGAGGAAATAACCGAGATAACAATTAGAATATATGGTTAACAATTAGATAACGAATAGAATTAAAAAAAGATAAAACCATTAAACTTCGGAGACAAGATTCGGATACGCTATATATCACCACTGAGATGGGATTTTGACTGAGAATTAAAAAGCACTTAGAAGAACACGCAACCTGCAAGTATTTGGACATGGCAGGATGCGGAGGGTCGAAGCTTCGACGGGACAGGGACAGGGAGGGGAATTAGGACCGGAGAAGAGAGTGTCGGGTAAGATGGAGGAGTGTGGCGGGGATGGCGCCGATAACATAAAATTACCTCATCTTGCACTACATATGATTCATTCCTTTTTTCTGTAATACATTATTGTTGTAAATTGTGGTCTCTAAACATACTTTTTTTTAAATATAGAAGCATGATCATTACACATACGAAGTAAAAAGTCTGATACTATGTAACTTTAAACTGTTACTATGTTTACACTCTATCATAATCTAAACTTTTCACTCATGATATTGAACCACATGGACATTCATCGCAACAAAATTGCGGAAAAAAGGGTATGGTAAGGCTGAAGGGGAAAGAAAACTAGAAAGGGAAAATCTTGTCATTATAACAAGAACACACAAATCTGTTGTAAACTAATTACAGTATAATTGCAGTTCTAAATCTTCTCTTTTATAAATTGCTAATGCACGTAGAAACTGAAAGAAAGGGACGCCTACAGCTTTGTTATCCCGTGTACTTTATGGGTTCGTTAGGTAAAAATACAAAAACAATGAAACTATTTCCATTTTGGCTGAAAAGGGAAAGCATTTTATTGTGCTAATCCGACTATTCTCATACTGCGACACTGCTTACAACAAAGGTGACGTCATGCAGCAGCAAGGCTCCAAGTAGCTAATATTCAGTGTTGAATATTTGCTTTTCATGGCTTGCGTTATGGAAGCGCATTTTTTTAAATATATTTGTGGCATGTAAAGAACTGTTGTAATACATGTACTTTATACCACGTTGTTGCAGTAGCCGTGAAGACTTATTTTGTTAAAATATTTAATTTACTGCCGTGTTATAGGAAGCATTTAATTTATTATTCCTGTGCAGAGAGCGTGCTACTTTTCAGAAAACCATTTTATTATTATTATTATTATTATTATTATTATTATTATTATTATTATTATTATTATTATTATTTGTAGGTTTTGTTCAGCAGCATTTTTGTTGCTGCAGACCACTAGTGAACAGTGGACAATTTGGAGTGCTGGGGGGCAGGCGTACCCTTGCAGGCCTTGCCGGCACGGCAGCAGCGGGCCGGCGCCGGCGGGCTGGCACGCGGGCTCCAGCAGCGAGCAACACGAACTGGCGCGCGCGCGCGCTGAAGCCCGACTCCACACCATGTCGAAGTAGGGCAGCGCGGCGTCCAGGTCGCGCAGGCGGCGCACGCCCGGCACCAGCGGCAGCGTCGTCAGGTCGTAGGGCAGCACCCCGCGGCACAGCGGCAGGCGCGGCGAGAAGCACAGCGCGCCTGCGCACGTGAAGCGACAAGATACTCTTTGCTGCTGGACTGCTTGGGCACAATTAGAGACCATGAATTCTCGGCTATCCGGGAGACGCCGCGTCGCTGGATGGGGTGCCGACGTTTTCGCCTGACATGTCGTAGGCTTCCTCAGGGCAGTGACACTGCCCACCGGGCGCGTAGCGCCGCAGTGTCACTGCCTGAGGAAACCTGCGAAATGTCAGGCGAAACGTCGGCACCCCAGCCAACGACGCGGCGTCTCCCCGGATAGCCGAGAATTCATGGATTCGAGCTGCGAAGCTTACGTACACAATTAGAGGCCGTTTTAATGTTTGATTAAAACTATTAAATGTTATTTATTTAATGTTTTTTAATAATATTAAAAATATTGTTTAATAAAAATAATGATACATGTTAAAATATTTTATTTCTGAAATCATTGAACTGAATAATTTCAAAAGTAAATATGCCTGTAACAAGTAATGTACTGTAGTTTCTGGTCAATGATCCAATCTCGATCTGATTTTTCGCCAGGTTCTTGGCCCTTTAAGCAAATGGTAGACCCCCTTAGCAAAGGGATTTATTCCCGAGTAACTCAAGGGCTAATAGGACTATGGGTACGCACTGTCGGTGTCGTTGGGCGTGGGCGCGGGCGGCGGGAGCGCCGCGCGGGGGCGTCGGGGGCGGCGGGCGGCCGGGGCGGGGCGGGGGCGGCACCGCCGGCGCCACGGGCAGCCGCGACGTCAGCGACGTCAGCGCCGTCAGCGCCGGCGCCTCCTGCGACGCCGTCTTCGCCTTCGCCGTCAGCAGCGCGTGGTCCTGCAAGCAGAGGGGGCGGCTCGTTGACGGAAAGGGGCGCTTTACAACAGGAGATACAAGCAGAAATGCAGATTGTCATGGATAAAAACAGTCGTGCTGGCCTGTGTTCCCAGCTGTACCATGCAGCAGCAAAATCGTATTGCGAATCTGACGGTAAGAGAGACACCGGTGGCATAGAGGTTCCATTCTTTGAGTGCCTGCTGCATTGGTTGTACCCAATGTTCAAGTTGTGATTCAGTATTCTATACACAGTATAAACCATTTAAAATAGACTAGAGGCATTGGCACTAACACGCAGCAATCTTCAGGCAATGATTCAGTGATGGTTTTTGGTTTTCTTATATCCCAGAGCCGCGGCCACTACAGTCCCCCGGTGTCACGAAAAAATAGGCTGCTAGACTTTTACGTGCGCTGGTTACTTTGGCGGCGTGATGGTCCCAGAGAGGCGTCAGCTGAGGCCGCGGGCGCCCTCTTGGCATTCAACGTCCCACCAGCGACCGGCGGCGTGGGTCGATGGAGGGGCAACGCCCGAATATGAGAGACCAAAGCGAAGTCAGATGTACTTGCAGGTTTTCAGAGTTCTCGTGTATTCTTTGATGAATGGACGAAATTGTGTTCTTTTCGAGACCTTTTTCAGACAATAATGTTGTGTGTCTACTCTGCGAGGAAAATGTCGAAATCGTGGTCGATAACTCAGAGAGAGAGAGAGAGAGAGAGAGAGAGAGAGAGAGAGAGAGAGAGAGAGAGAGAGCGTAAGGGTGACGCCGCGTCCATGGCAAAGGTGTCGACGTTTCGGTCGCCATTCTGCGACCTTCCTCAGGGCGTAATACCCCCTCATAACGCCCTGAGATAGGTCGCCGAATGGCGACCGAAACGTCGGCACCTTTTCCATAGACGCGGCGTCACCCGTACAGCCAATTAAATATTGATAAGTCAGAGAGTTCACGAGTTCACCCTGCTTTACAAGTTTAGTTTTGCTCTGGAGAAGGCCTCTGAAGAGCGCGCGGGTGTTGGTCCTTCAGCGAAATCGCGCTAGACTCACCGCAAAAACAATGTACACCTCTGAGAACACGTCGGTTCCCTCATATTCGGATTATTTCGTATGTAGTTAGATTCGTAGGTAGGCATTTCCCCACCAGCATCCAAAGCTGGTACACGATCACGGAGGGACACGTATGACGAACTCTGCACTTTCAATGAAGACGCTATCCACCTTAGTCATGCCATTTGCAAAGCAACATCAATTGTCGACCGATTAAGAAGGCCATACACGTTCTGAATAGTTCGACAGGGTCTGAGTTTCTCGGGTTTATGTTATTCCAAATGTGTGGACAGACGCCCAATTTGACCAGTCTGGGCTAACAACGTTTTGTGTACCCACCAAGGAGGGCATGGGAGTGAAGTCCCTTCTCCGGCACTTCCGGTACTTGATGTGAGCGGGCGAGGACGTATGACTATCTGCCCTGTAGATGAGTGTACCTAGACGGAGGCCCAGGTAAAAGAGGACCCATTTTTAGTTTTTTTATTATTTAAGGTACTAACACTACTTGTGTTAGTGCGGTCCCGCCCTTCATTACGCTGATGTCGTTTGTAGAAGTTTTACCCATTTGTTTAAGGTGTCAGATGCCTGGAACGAACAATGAACATTGAAACGAACAATCACTGACGTACATGGAACCTCATTTACAGCAAGGCCTGTCCTAAGCAGCGGTCCTGAGGCTACCGTCCGTGGCACACGCGTTGACACCGGGAAACGCTCAACATAGTCAACTCTGCTCTCGACAGTCTTGGTTTGTGGTGAGAGGTGTCACACTAGTTCTCGACGTGACACGCTAGTCACAAACTGTTCTTTAAGTCTTTCAGGCAAATATCACTATTGTCTTGTGTTCGTATTACTAATTATCGTATAATTTTCACTAGAGGATTAATGTTTCGTTTACACAAAGACTTTCTCGTCTTCCAGCTGTGTTTGTACGGGCTCTTTCAGATTTCAGTATAATCTCGTATAAGAACACACTGCGAACGCATCTCAACTCGCAGGCGAAATAAGGATTTCAGTGCAGCGAGGTCCCGCTCGCACAGGGGAACCGGGGAAGAAGTTGATCGATAATCGTATTTTCGAGCGCGACAACTGCGATGATCACTTTCCTCCCAAAATTGGGGCTTATTGTATCCCAGGAAGTTGAGATGTTCCTTCCCCTCTGAAGGTGAGATGCGAGACTGATGAACACGTCAGCTTGGTCCCACCGCAAGACTCTCTTTCCCACCTCACGGTATCTCCGCCCGAGGGGCGCCGCCCCAGCTCTGAGCTCCCGAGTGGTTCCCGTGAACTTCGTGGTAGTGGAGTTCACGTAAGTGTACGTGTTGTGTATAAGATGAGAGAGAGAGAGGACTAAGGATGAGACAGGCAAGATCGCGCACTGTCCGTGGCCCGTTTCTTAGGGTTTTGCTCCGGCAATCACTGGGTAGTGTTTGGAGAAACAACGGAAAACTACCGGTCGGGGCAGGCAACTGATAGAATTCTGCTGCTGAATTCCACCGAGCTATACAGCCAGACTTGAAAAATCCGTCACTGTCAGTACTCGAACCCTCAGACATCCTGGTCACAGACGCTGTAGTGGCTGGACTTGGGGAGTGTACGAACCCTGGGAATGTGCGGAGCTGCCACTCCAAACAAATGCCTCTGGTTGGTGCACTCTTGTGCACCAACTCTGTGCAACAAATGCCTCTTGTAAATGCACTATTGACCCAGGTGGCAAAAGTCCTCCGAGAGGGCACCTTTTCGCTTTTCTCACCAACTCCCGCCTGCGTACAAGTACGCCAAAAGGCTAGTATCCCGATCCCGGCGAAACGCAGTTTGCCCTCACGGCAACCTTATCATTCAATGCCTAGGCTGGGGCCGCCCTACTGCTCAGAGCAACTAGCTATCCACACTAATTCCGGAGTCCAAACAATGCGCTACTCACCTGCGCCAGAAACCAGTCCCTCCTCTTTGCCCAGATTATCGAACCTCTGTCACAACGAAGCCTAGAGCCCAACAGGGATCAACTCGCAATAAGGTTCAGACGGCTTGCGGCCGACCGCAGCCACCTGGCCTGGTGGCCACGGCCACTTCCCCGTCTCTTCACTGCCTACATCTTTAGGCTATCTACGTGAGTACCGACAGAACCTAGAAAACCTGGCAGGGAGGTATCTGGTCCGCGTCGGTCTTTTAAACATGGATCCGTTGCATCCTGAAATTTACAAAGGTGGACGCGCCAGGGGCCCGACTGGTGGGTTCCAGGAGCTTCACCTTTTCATTGCCTCCGCCATAAGGCTAACGACGTGAGTGTCTGTGAATGTGCTCACCAGGTGCGCGGTGGCCTTGAGCTTGGCGAGCAGCTGCGAGATGGCGTAGAGGGGGTTATACGTGGGATCCGCAGCATCCCCAAATGAACCCTCTCCTGCTCAAAGGTCGACGCGCCAGGGGCCCGACTGGTGGGTTCCAAGAGCTTCGCCTATGCATTGCCTCCGCCATGAAGCTAACGACGTGAGTGTCACTGTGAATGTGCTCACCAGTTGCGCGGTGGCCTTGAGCTTGGCGAGCAGCTGCGAGGTGGCGTAGAGGAAGTCGTCGGCCGCGTCGCGCTCCGTGGCCGGGGGCTCGGTGGGCGGCGCGAAGGGCTCGGTGGGCGCGCCCGCGGCCGCCGACGTGCCCAGGTCGGGCGCCGGCACGATCTCGATGAAGTCGGGCCGCGACTCGTTGGACGCGCCCCCGGCCCCGCCCGCGCCGCCACCGCCGCCCGCACCGCCGGCGACGCCTGCGTTGCCGCCACCCGCCGCCGCCGCTGCCGGAGACGCCGGAGACGTCGCACCGGCTGGGTCGGCCTCGCCACCGCCGCCTAGGGAACACCACGACAATTCAAGAATGGAAGAGCAAGTTTTCAAGAAGAAATTAGTACATCTGATCAAACACAATCCATAAATAACCTATCTGAAGAGGTAATCAGCTCTGGCTACAACGTATAAACAGATTAGAGAGCACACAAGCGTTGAAAAGAATATTAACACATAAAATTGTAAATCGACCACTAAGACTAAGACATCCCAGGAAAAAAAGTCGGAGGGAGGGTAATGAGTCTAACACTTGATGTAATAGGAGAAGACGAAACAGAAGGTACAAAAGAGCGAGAATGAGAATCCGATGAAGACTTGCAAGAGTTTTCTCCAATCATGTTTTCAGGAAGATAAATCGTGGCCAGGAAAAGTAGATTTACAAGTCTAACGTTTCTAGATGTTGTTAAGATTTCTTTATGGCTTTACTTCAGTAGTGTAAAGGACAAAGAAAATTGTGAGATGAGTTTTTGTAAAGAAATAAAATCACAGAAAAAATGGGTTTGTTAAGGATAAAAAAAAATATTTTTATTCCACTTAAACACATTTATTTTTATTCACTTTCACAGAGAAAGTTTTTTCAGAGTTATTGAAGAACGTCAGTTGAATGATAAGTTGAATGATAAAAGTTGAATGATATTAGAGAAAGAGGGAATCCTCGAAGTACAGCTAATATTTTACTGGGGTGTGAATTTTATTTCAACAGTTACTGTTATTATCCTATCTTTGATATATTTCTGATGATTTGCCAAGGAAATTGGATGTTTGTATTTATAGCTGTTATAATATAAAGCCTCCAAGTCAAATTTCATACAAGGTTTTGGATACGTCTAGGAATGTTACTTTTGTGCATTTGAGGTCTTGGATATTTGAAGAAATGTTTTCTGCTAGACTGAGGAACTGACGTGAGTATATTTAAATAAAGAATACGAATTGGCGTTGAGGTATATGTGTTTTTCTTCATCAGTATTTTTGCTGCTGCATGCTTCGAGTTGTAATATGAAGCTGTTGTTATAACACGGGCGTAGGGTACCTGCAGCCGCGCCGGCGCCGCCGCGCGCCACGTGGAACTGCCCCTCGTGGTAGGTGACGTCGCCCAGGTCGAGGATGACGTCGCCGTCCAGGGAGACGACGTCGTCGGCTGCGTTGCCTGCGCCGTCGCTCTCCTGCCCCCACGGGTGGCCGGCCAGCACCGGCGCCTGCGACGGGCCCTGCATGTCTGCACACACACACATGCGTACTCTAGGGTGGATGGATTGATAAGTAATTCCGGGTGCGTAGACTACTAGCACTATTCGCCCGTAGGTATAGTGCATGTTTTTATCACGGGAGGTGGCTGTAATCTTTCCCCGCTGGATAGCGAAACTGGCCAAGACCTACATGTCAGCTAGCGGGGTTTCCCTCAACCAGGTATCTCCCACCAGTGGGGCACTACCACAGCCGGGACAAGCTCTAAGCTCCCGACTTGTGGTAGTGTAGTGCATGTTAGTGTGCCTGTAAGAGGTGAGGATAGAACAAGGAAGAGGAAGAAAAGATCGCGTAACTCGTTTGTTGGGTACCTCTTGGGAATTCGCCGTGTGTTAATCGGAGAAAGGAAAGGTACCGATCAGAGCAGCCGGCTGCTAGAATTCTCCTCCAGACAGCGACTGAATTCGATCTAGCTATGTAGCTAGCGTCGAAACTCCTCAAACCGTCGGGACAAGAACCTAGGACCTCCAGGCCAGAGGCACTGCAGTGATATTAGTTGATGCCCTGAGCCCCCTAAGCCTATCTCACTCGTGGAATGGCAGCAACTGCTCCGTAAACGTAAGCCAAAGCCAAAAGGCGTAAATCAGTCGTTAATAGTCGCCTGCCAAAGCCATAGTGTACCTGGAGAACGCCAATGGGGAGGGGAGTTTACGGCAGAACCCAAAATTAAATGCAGTGTAATTAAATTAATAGAATTTACATCAAAATCAACTGCATTAGTTAAATCAGCCTAATTGATTTAATTTACAATTAAATGTTATTAATTTAATAATTAATACAATGTATTTTTGTCAACATTCTGAATTTGTTTTTAACAATTCTCTATTAAACACATTTCACTAGAATTCTTTAGATGTATGGCAAGGACACATATATTTGAACATTATTAGAAATTGGGCAATATTTACCATGTATCTCCGATTTCACAACTTTTATCTACGTCGACAGACAATAAAATAAGATTAAAGCCTGTTATAGGCTGAAACAGAACGCTGGAGTTTATACAAAGCGCATATGAAGACTGTTTCACATTGTTTTATAAACTTACGTTGAAAATCAAAACTATCACGTATGGTTAGGAAAGCTGAAAATAATCAAAGTGCTAAATGATTACACAGTTGCTCCTTAACTAAACAAAGGTAAGAAAAAACTCCACTGGGGACTCTCGTTTATCTCCTCCCCATTGGCCTGCGTCTTTGGACATCGTTAGGCCGATGTACAACAAATAACGGCCGATGTACAACAAAAACCGAGGTGATTGACAACGTCGATAGCCAACCGCGACCATTATTTGTGATGTCGATCGTGTTTCGCGGCCGTGAGGCCGGGCGGAAATCGACTCCTAGGACTTCCCGGTAAGAGTCGCTGCAGTCACTAAATTGAAGCGTTGAGGTTCAGAAGGGTGTAAGTCCCAAAACCTTGATTTTTGAGCTTATAATTGTTGATGGATCTATGTGCTGCCTTCGCCAATGATTTGCCGAAGTGTCTATGGGCCAGCGGAAGCTTAGTTGCAAAATTTTCCAGAAATTGCGTTGGGTCTCCCTCCAACATTCGTTCTCAATTCTTTGTTTGCTAGCTACTTATTTCTTGGCACTTAGATCCGTATGAATCTAAACGCTTCAATTAAAGCCGGCGCTGACGTCTTTGTCTCCAGGCAGAAGCCAGGAGGCGTAGGGCGAGTGGCTGCTACTCACCTGCGAGCACGAAGTAGAGGACGAGCGCGAGGGCGAGCAGGAGGGCGGCGACGGGGCGGCCCAGCGCAGCAAGCGCCAGGCGCGCGGCCGCTCGCGCCACCACTCGCCCCCGCGACGACCCCTGCAACACGCCAACACGCCTCTCTATTAGTACTCCCTCAACAATGTCTAATTGTTGAACTGCAAAACAGTACTTCTTCCAAAGAAGGAGCCTTAATCCAACTTCTCTGTTTACAAGCGAACAATGGCATTCACGACGTGTCGTAATAGAATTTAGTGCATCTTATACTAGAATTTATTTCACCGTGCACTTGACGTAAATCAGCTGTTCAAGTTTTCATCCAATCGGGAGCTTGATTGCCCCCTTAGTGACGTCACTCAAGCGACATACAAGCTCCCGATTGGATGAAACCGCAATACCTGATATACGTGAAGTGCACGAGTAAATCAATCGTACTTTAGGGCGAGTTCAGAACGTACGCAGAGAAATAAAGGATACTCTCTACTGCAAAACAACATGCAAGCAGATTACAATTGGCGCCGAAAGAATTGCAAGATGGCGCGCGATGCTTACAATTAATGTTTATTTTATTTTATTTATCACCAAAAAACGGTAAACCTTTACGTGACGTTTGAGGGAGAAGTATAATCTTTCAATGTATTCTTGAGCTCCAACCAAGACTATCAACCACTCTCGTTTACTATGCCGAATTGATTTTAAATAAATACCATCGAGAGCGATTTGTAACATTTTAAAACCATAAATTTTCGCTACATGGTAAGAGAAAACGTATTTGCATCTGCAAACGAACAACAAATTTTATTTTATAGTATTGCCTATAAAATAGCAACCCTCCTTCGACCCAGAGAATGAGAGCTCAAACAGCATAGTGAAGCTACACATCTTCATTATTATGCTTAGGAAAAATGAGAATTTTTACAAAGACGCTGACGAAACATAACTTTGTAAATATTGCAATGATGGATAGGAAATTGAGGCAGTGCTAAAACGTTGAAGTCTTCAACCTTGTACAGTTTTTCGTTTACATTAGTGTGATACAGTTCTAGAAGGTATTTTTCTATTTCCTAAGTCCCCGTTTGTTCCTTCTCCAGTCGCCTCCTCCCTCTTCGTAGCTCGTTAATTTACACTTACAACATTTAATTCTTTTTTAACTTCTACATATTTAATGAGCCAAAAACATGTGTATCCAGCTGTATTTCTGAGAATTTAATTTCTGTTGATTCAATTCTCATCATTTAATCTTTAGTTAGTGTAGATATAATAAGATTAATTAATATTCTAAATGAAAAATAAAGTTTCTATGGAATCATGCTAAATTGAAAAGAAAGAATTTTCTGATACAATTAACTTGCACTTTCGGACCATCTCGCAAGACGTGTGTAATATAACCAAGAAGTGACAGAAATTCTGAAGCAAATAAACTCCAAATATTTAGCAATAGAAAACTTCGACTCATATTAAACCGCAGCGATATCTTCATTCAAAGTATTTTAAGAATGGATTCGCGTAATTATTAATATTCACTCATCACTGAAGTAATGCAAAACAGTGTAAATATGGAAGGACAAGAAAGTTGTGAAAATTGTGTTGGCCGGCATCCCACAAAACATGTATTGTGTAGGCACACAAGGGGAATTGTGTAGATTCGTGAAGTGCCTTGTGTGTTGTTTTCTTCTCCAAATGTTCTCCATACACTCATAAAATTCTCATTTATCAAGTGATTTAAAGCCATAACAATAAACCAGCACAGGCTGTTCCAATACGGCCTCTCGCGGGCACGGGCGCCCGCGTGCCAGCGTGCCCGGCTGAGAAGGAGGTTGCGGACTGTTAGGCGCTCTTCTCACTTAGGCTGTGCTTTTCATGGAAGCAACATGTAGTGCGATGGCTGGCAGAGGAAACCACAATCCCTATTTATGGCTCACTGGATTCCATCTATCGCCGATGCACTTGGAGATAAAATATTTGCAGAACTCCATACGTCTATAATACAGATATTTTAATACACTTCATTTGTCGCGGTGGTATCAGAATTTACATGTGGAAGTCTTTCCCAAGCTTCATAAAATGCAGCGAAGATTATATTTGTGTTTGGGTCAACATATTGTT